CCGACCCGTGCGAAAGATCTGTGCTGCCTTTCAGGAGAGGGTCCGAGGGACTGTTGTAGTCACCCTGAGCAACTCTGGTCCCTGCACATGTGTCCTTCCATAGCAGGGCGTTGGAGCATCAATACACCATGGGCAGGCATCCAAGGACAAAAGTGATACTGACCTGGATGTGGAGGCGCTGAGAGCAAGGATTTCTCTGCAGATGCTGCAGTGCCGTGCAGTGCCGTGACTCTGCAGATCCGCATTGGCAACAAGAAGGCTAAATGCGAGGTCGTCGGCGACCAGGCAACTGGGGCCGGACTTCCTGCGAAAGCAGACCCGCAGCGCTTTTCAGATCGAGACAATGTGCCGTCCTTACTTGAAGTGTCAGGTGATTTTCGTCGATGGTCTCATGGGCGACAACTGAGTGTTTGCTGGGATGTCTTATGCCAAGAGGTCAGGCCCAGTATCGATTGTACAGTGCTTCGCTCAAAGTGGACTTGCTTCCTCCCGCAGTGTCTCTGCGTGTGCATGCACTATGCTGAGTCGACTTCAAAGCTTGCCTACCGCCAATTTCAATTTGCATGGTCCCCTGTCCCTCAGTCTTACGCTAAAACCTTACGAGATCTGCAAGCTGTGGCAAATGCCTGTCTGCAAAAGCACAGTCTGTACCAAATCGTCTGGTAACTCGCTCTGCGATCTGCAGAAGCAAAGCGGCCCTACACCAGACCAGCATCGTCTTCCCGGCCCTGAGCAGGGTTTGTGTTGTTACGTGGAGCCAGCCACACTGGCTCAGCCATGGCTACAAGGGTCGAGGCCGAGTGCTCCTTCACACAGGATGGGGACAAGGCACGGCTTTCCCGAATGAACTCGGAGGTGTTCCTTGTTTAGGGCTCCGACTGCATGTTCACGCGCGCCACGGATTTCACCCTTTGCGAGCTTCCACCCTTCACGGACACCGGTGAAATCGGTATTTGCGGTGCATGCTTTCGCAGTAATTCACCAAACCAAAACCCCCACCATCTTGAGGCTGCCTTGTGCTCAACGCCAGCAGCCGGTTAAAGGCATGTGGTTAATGCAGTCGTGCCGAATCATTCGTCAGCTCTTTTCCCACCCCACTCGAACCAACGCTCCCTTATTTCTTTCAAGTGCCTAGCCTAGCACTCATGCTCTGCTCTCGGAAAAGTGTCTTATGATTCCCCTGTAGGTTCACGATGGCAGTCTTTTCAACGTTGATCAGGAAACGGTGGCTGCAACTGAAGTCGCGTGTACCATGTACACCTAACTCACATACATGTATGATCATGTATGCATGCATTTTAAACATACATGCAGACCTATAAGTCAGGATACAGTGATAGGCAGGATTCCAGTAGACAAGCATCATTTACTCGCAGCAGACAGGGACTGCCGCATTAAGTCCCGTCATTTGGCACAGCGTGTGCATCACAGAGCTCCCCCCCCCTAGCGGGCAAGCAGAAACAGATGGCAGCTGCGGAGCTCCATTAGACAAGCTCGATTCCTGGATCTGTGCTTCTCTCCTTGGGAGGTCTGCCTTCTTGGCTCTCGGCCTGAGCTCGGGGACTGGGAGGCCACAAAGGCGCTGGAGCTGAAGACCGGTCCGAAGCTCTGGCCCAGGCCTGGTGTCGTCGAAGTCTCAGCGTGTTTGGCTGTCGGCCTTTCATGCGGCACAGGTGGACGGCCCAGTTGCCGCCAGGGATGGCTGGAGCTGAGTTCAAGCTCATCATCCGACGACGCTCCACTGCACATGGGCTGCCCCTTGTGCTTTTGCCTTGTGCTTTTGCCTTGTGCTTTTGCCTTGTGCTTGCAGAAAGTGCAAAGGCCGTGATGGCTCGGTCGAGTGGGAGCCGGTGCCTCACAACCGATCCTGGCCCGATGGATGCCCAGCTGGCTCGAAGCTCTGTTTCAGATATGGCGACCAGGACATGCAGGTTGCAAAAGACTCTGGATATTCCAGGGTAAAGTTCGACATGGGCGAGGACAGCAAGGCCCCACCTGTGCCAAAGGGCCACAGGGCCAAAACACACCTGGATATCAGGCAGCGCTTGGTATCAAACTCGGACAAGTTTCGGAAGAACATCGAAGAGCGCTTCGAGCTGGACACTGCTCTGCTCGGAGAAGGTGGCTTCGGCCGCGTCGTCAAGGCCCGTGACAAGGAGACCGGAGCATGGCGCGCCGTGAAGACCATTCTAAAGTCACGTGTCACACACATGGATGAGGTGAAGCAGGAGCTCCAGCTAACTCAGCGCATGGACCATCCGAATATTGTCAGACTCTATGCAGTCTACGAAGACCACTGTAGCCTATATTTGGTTCTGGAGCTTTGCGAGGGTGGCGAGCTCTTCGATCGATTGGTCGACGAAAACTTCTTGACTGAGCCGGTGGCGAGAAAGATCATGAAGCACACCTTCACAACGTAGCAGCCGTTTTCGGATCGCTGGACCCTCCCGCTCTGTATGTACTGGAACCAAACCCAGAGTGGGAGTTAGGGGGTGGTTTCAGGTCTCTGTCCATGTCCGTATCGTGTAACAGTGTGTGGAGTCAATCATGAACGATGAACACGTCGAGTTCTCGCCTCAGAACTGCGACAAGTTGGATCGACCCAGTCTTGTGTTTGAAAGATGGAGCCTTCTATGTAGGTAGCCATGGGTGGAAACCGAGCAGCTCCTAGGTCTGACGGCCTCTGGGCTTTGACTCTCCCTAAACGATCGGAGCCTGTACAGCAAAGTGTTCAAGCATGAATTGCGTTCATGCTTATTCCAAACCTGAGCAGGTAAGTTGAGTTGATAGCAGAGGTTGCAAACCAGCGAGTGTTAAGTATGTCTGCTGCCTTCCATTGGTCCATGCTTCATCCCGGAGCACCCGAGGCAAGTCTTTTCGTCGATCGCTTACTGCCATGCTCGGGATGTGGTGCACAGAGCCGCAGGGATGCAGGGATGCAGTCGGTTCGTTTCTCTTTTGGAACCCTTACTGTATGGGCGTAGCATTAAGTTAAGAGAGTGTCCAGGCGTCACGCTTCACAAAGACGTGACTTCTTGCCCAGTGCCCTTCCTGTTGTTCCGTCTGGAACAGGAGCTTTGCAAGAGCAAGAGTGGTCTGGCAGTGGGGTTAGTTTAGGAGTTTCACAGTTTCTGATGTGTCTCATTTAGCAGCGCCGATTAGGATTTTGCCGGGATCCGTTTACTTAGGACCTGAAACCCGAGAACTACGTGCTGATGTCGAAGGCGCGGGCAGTCGACCAGACGCCCTTGAAGCTGATTGACTTTGGCCTGGCAACATACTGCAGGCAGGACCAGAGTCTCAGCACCGCCGTGGGCACCCCGTTCTATGTTGCTCCGGAAATGCTGGGGCATCCGTACGGGCGTGAGGTGGACATCTGGAGCTGCGGCGTGATTATGTACTGCTTGCACTGCGGCCGGCTGCCCTTCACAGCGCCGACAGACATTGAAGTCTTGAGGCAAGTGAAGCGTGGCCGGTATTGCTTGGATGGAGCTATTTGGGGTCAAGTATCTGCACCGGCCAAGGATTTGATAGGCCGCTGTTTGGAGATGGATGCCAGCAAACGGATCACGGCGACCGGTGCCCTGGAACACTCGTGGTTCAAAAACAGCGGAACGGCCGACCCCAAAGTCTTTGATCCAGAGGTGTTGCAGAACTTGAAGGCCTTTAGCGAAGCGAATCGGTTCCAGAAAGCTGCGCTCCTAGCCGTGGCATACAATCTTACAGCAGAAGAAGGGCATGAGCTGCGAGAGACCTTCACAAAAATGGACAAGAATGGCGATGGGTATCTGAGCTTCCAGGAAGTTCAGGAAGGTCTTGGGCCGATTCTGGAGCGGTCTGGCACGAATCTGTCTCAAGTCTTCAAAGGAATCGCTAATGCAGAGGGGAAGCCGCTTGGCCAATCAGAATCTGTTTTGTGATCCACTCTTGGGGACTTTTGTCGTGACAGCATCGACAGGCTTGAGTACACTCAGTTCATTGCTGCCGCTATGGACGAGCAGTTGCAGGGGAACGAAGAGCTTTGTTGGCGAGCTTTCAAGGTCTTTGACAAGGATGACAGTGGTTCGATCACCATGTCTGAGCTCCAGCAGGTCGTAGAAGGTGATGAGCTGAGCAAGATGATCGAAGGCCAGAGCCTTGCGAAGATATTTGAGGCCACTGACAAGGACAGCTACTGGGATGCGATGGAAGTTTCTTGTTTCGCTGGCGGCTGCACCGAGACCGGTAGCATTGCGATAGCGCGAGCTCCAGTGTCAGCTGAGGTAATGGCGTGGTTTCCTTCAGTGAATTTATGCATATGCTCCACTCCACGGCTGTCCTGGAGCCGCAGTCCCCGACACGATCTTCGATCTATGGCAGAGCAATGCCTTCCCAAGGATTGGGTGCCCTCCTTTCCACTGAGCTGTCTCAGGGCCCGAAAAGTTAGTGAAACTGCAGACACTTCAAGCCGCATTCGGAGTTGCAGTATGCCGTCAGTCTCGCACGCCAGTTCTAGTAAACCTTGTCAGGGATTCATGCAGCATTGGCACCCATATGCTGGCTGCATGTAGTAGTCGTAGTGCTGCCAGCCTCCATTCCGTTCTCATCAAGCAGGCTGTCGAAGTGCAACAATACGTTGCCTCGGCCTGGGTGAAGATTTTCTGGAAGCGCAGTCATTTCTTCTGGCCAAATAAGAGTCTGCTTTCGCACATACGCACGTGCAATAGCCGTACCCAAAGAGCCGAAAGACTTCGATGAGTCGCTGGCAGGGTGGACGGAGCCGTGCTTCTTTTACACTGCCTTCCAGGCTCCAGCAAGAACGGCCATGGGGCTTCAGTGTCACAGGACTAGGACGGGCAGCAAACCAAATATTTTCTTGCACGAATCAGGCACAAGTCCCACGTCGAGGGTAGGCAGGGCATTCCCGCACATACTAGCTACACAAGCAAGTTCGTGACAGTTTGTTTTCGGAGCCAACATTTCGAGCAGCTTGGACCGGCCATTGGGTGCTCCTGATAACCATGGTCGGCCAGCCTGCACATTCGCCTTGTGCATTGGAGGTTGTTTGCTCAAGGACGACCTGTGGCGACGAGCTTTTCCTGTGCGGTGGGCACGAGATTCTCGGCGCTTGGGAGGTCGGACGAGCCCTGAAGCTTTACACAGAGAAGGAGTCCTTTCCAGTCTGGAAGCTGCAGCTCCCTGCCACTCCCACTCTCGCAGGGGAATTTAAGCTTCTAGTGAAACGACGCTTGGAGAAAAAGAGAGTTACTTGCTTTTGTCAGGGCACCTTTGCCATGTGTTCAGCAGGGCGAAGCAGTGACGTTCATCTGAGGACGCAATGGCAACATCGAGTGGGAGGGAGGCCAGAACCGTTTCTGGCCCTCACCTCTGCCCTCCGGACCCGGCGGACGGATTCATCTCCGCTTTGGGGAGCCGGGCTTGGACGTGCATGCCACTGAGATGCCCAAAGGCTACGATTTCGACGACACTTCCACTTCGCTCCCTTCGGGCTCGCCTTGGTCGTCGCCTTCGTCGGAAAGCCGCCCGATGCTTCCATTAAAGCGGCAGCGTACGAAGAGTGACTGCGTCAGATCACGGCTCATCCATGCTACTTCACTAGCGGACATCACCCAGAAGGCCTGCATATGCGACCGCTACGAACTTGAGGATGCCACTCTCGGCGAGGGTGCCTTCGGCACGGTGCGCAAGGCTCGAGATCGATCCCTTGGCACCATGCGGGCCGTGAAGCGCATCGACAAGGCGTGGACGGAGCTGTAGCTGCCCGGTGCTTGTCTTGCCTTTTCTTCATCCTGCGCAGTTAGGGCCACCGGCCACCACCCCTAGCAAGAACTGCAATTCTCCAAGTCCATGCTTAATCTAAGCTCGCACGCTGATGTCTAAGTTAAAGGCAAAGTCCTTCGCTTTGGACGACGTTCGCAAGGAGATCGAGATGCTTCGTGAGATGGATCATCCCAGCATTGTGAGGCTTTATGCCGCATACGAGGACAACGTGAGCATTTACCTTGTGATGGAGCTCTGCGAGGGTGGAGAGCTCTTCGACCGCTTGATCGAGGAAAGTCATCTTACAGAGCCGGCAGTCCAGACCATCATGCGACAGGTCTTTGGTGCGGTAGCGCATTGTCATGACAAGCACATAGTTCATCGGGACTTGAAGCCAGAAGCTTCGCCGAATTGGCAGTTTGTTTTCGCTGTGTTGAGGGTTTAGGGCTAGTGCTTCATGCATGCTCGAGACGTTTGGTGGTCAGTATGCTTAGGAGAACTTTATCTTGCAGAAGCGCGATGCCCCTGTAGACAAAAATCCTCTGAAACTGATCGATTTCGGACTGGCCGAGTATTGTGAACCGGGAGACTTGATGCACACAGCCTTCGGAACCGTCCTCTATGTTGCACCCGAAGTCTTGCAAAATCAATACGACCGTGCTTGTGACATCTGGAGCTGCGGCGTTATGATGTACTGCCTGCTGAGTGGATCGCCACCGTTCCATGGTTCCTCAGATGCTGAAATCATGCACAGGGTAATGAGGGGCAAATTCTCGATGAGGGGCACTCGCTGGTCTCCAGTGTCAGACATGGCGAAGAATCTCATTGAGCAGTGTCTGAACAAGGATCGGCAGAAAAGAATCACCGCCACAGATGCACTGAATCACATCTGGTTCCAGCGCCCGGCAGAAGCGCCTGGGATGCCACTACATCCAGACCTGCTGGCAAATTTGAAAGCCTTTAGTACAGAGAACCGCTTCAAAAAGGCAGCCTTGACTGCGGCGGCCTATCAACTTACCGATGAGGAGCAGGAAGAAATCCGCCAAACTTTCCAGAGGTTGGACAGCGACTGCGACGGGTTTGTGACACTTGAGGATTTAAAGACGTGTTTTCAAGAAAGTGTCGATCTCAGCCCGTTGCTGAACGTGGCAGAGGTCATGGACAATCTGGATCATAACCAAGACGGCCGACTGGAGTACACCGAGTTCATCGCTGCAGCAATGGATCAGCGCCTTCATAGGAACGAACAGCTGTGTTGGCGAGCTTTCAAAGCTTTCGACAGGGATGGCGACAATCGAATCACGTATCCCGATTTGCAACACGTGCTGCAAGATCCAGATCTCCTACACGAAGTTCCGAACTGTCGGAGTGCGTGGCAGTACTTCCAAAAGATGGACGTGGATGGTGACGGCGAAGTAACCTTCGACGACTTCATGCGGATGCTTCGGGCACAAAACTCTCCTACATCGCCATCTATATTCAATCAGATGACCTTCGGAACTCTAACGGAAGGGCCATTCAAGGATTACAGCTCCGATAGCACAGCATCCACAGATGAGCCTTTCCAGGGTTCGCCACTGTAGTACAGAGACTAACTGCATGTCCTGAATTGCGGCCTGTTTGCACTTGTAACAGCCGGTAGCATAGAGTGGAGAAGGCTGCGAGAATCCTTTTGGAGCTGTGAACTTCAGCTCAATGCCAACAACCGAAGCTTGGCACCCAAATGAGCCAAAGGCCAAGGCTAAGACTTTGCCTCGTGCTCTGCATGAGGGCTAGGCAGGGACCAAACCCTGTGTCCTTGCAACAGGCTGCTTCCGATCTTCCCAGTTTCCGACTTCGTGTCGCCTGGAAGGCTCGCGGTGGATATAGAGATCAGCAACAGCTGTGCCAAATCCGCACGCTTCCTCAATTTTGCATCGAACTGCAAGGAATTCGTCTGCACAGATGGATTCGAGTGCGCTCTCGCAGCTAGTCTGGTGTTTCGGAGTTCCATGCTCTGAGATCTGACTCCGACACGCGAGGGCCCACTGGAATCTCCATAGCTCACGAGCATAGATCCATCGATAAGGCGCTTGGCCCTTCACATTCAGTGCACGAAAACGGCCATGATCTGTCCACTTCGCATTGTCAGCGGCATACAAGCCCGCGGTCGCTCGACCGACTTAGCTCATGTTGTTCATCTGAACGAGTCTATTAAGCTGTTTGAGTGCGCTGGTTTGTCTAGAGTATGCTAAAACTTTTATTTAATAGCTTTAATTCCGCAAGATTGCAGGGAGGTGATGCCTGCAAAGCTGGTGTCAGACGAACTGCGCAGCGGAGGAACCACACGGGTTTTGAAGGAAGGGTGTGAGGGATAGCGGGATGACAGCGGCAAGAGGCCCGAAAAGGGGGTTACACAAAAACCTAAGTGTGCCCTCCAATAGACACCGTGACTTAGCCTCTGCGTCTCAGCTGCCGAGCGGAAAAAAGAGCAAAGAGTTTGCAGCTTCAGTGTCCAAGGCGTAGTCCAACCGGGAAGCCACGCTACGACGCTATGCCAAGAGACTTGTGGCTGCAAATGCCAAATGCTGCATTTTTTTTGGAGATCAAGCGCGAAGAACACGGTTTGCAGACGCCATCCGCAACCATGTTGAAGAAGCACGCCCTCTGCATTTTAGTCCTGCTGAGACACATGGATTTTCAATCGCAGAGATAATACAGGCAAGGCACGGGCAAGGCTCACATGTGTGGCACGACCCAGCTCTATGAGAGCAGGCGGAAGCAGAATGCCCTGTCTCTTTGGCACCGTTCCTCTACGCTGTTTTGAGGAGCTTACCTTGGGAGAGCTCCTGCGGCTTTCGGCGAACGTTGCTATGGCATCAGGGATCCGAAGGTCGGGCGCGGTAAACAAAACCTTTTTGGTGTTGGCCTGCGCTACCCTGCTGCTCGAGGCGCCGCCGAAGCATCTGACCTGGCGGGGCAGCTACGGTGGGGTCGAGAGTGGAGGGGAAGAGCGTCACTGCAATCGTCAATCTGTCTTGAGCAGTACAACAGGGCTGCTCCGACACCGGAGCGGCCCAAGCGTATGCAGGTGGAACCATCGAGCTGGATGTCAACGGATGCCTTGAGAAGGTAGTGGACTTTCGTCGTTGTCCTGTTCGGCTTGTCTGAAGTGTTCTGGCATGCATGTAAGTTGATGACTTCGCCTCATCTTCATTACAACGCTTGAGGTGCAGATTGATGCGCTGCGAGGGCCGGTGATTTTCCAGGCAGGTGAGCAGATCAGCAAGCTGTGGCATAGCGCAAATGCCTCAAAGGCAGATGGCACAACAACATTTCTGGAGGAAACGAGTACCTGCCTTAGCCAGCCCCTAGCTCTAGTCTGACTCAAACGGATGAGAAAGAACGAGCACTCACAGATTCCAGGCACTGTTTCCTGGCAGAGAATCAACACAGCGGATCAGAAGTTGCTGGCCCACAGAGCTGTCGATGCCTCTGTTAGAAGCGGTACGTGGGCGGTCGTGAAACTGCATCACTTTTACCCGCTCCGAGGCCAGGATCAACGTAACCATGAAGGAGTGGATGTGCAACCTGGTTTTTGTAGTCGCAGCTGCTCACCGTGCGTGAGCTTAGCTTTCTGCGGCAGGACCGTGTCGAGGAGCTCAAGGCGATCGAAGCTGCGAATGCTCTGTCTTCTGAGGACACTGATGCCCTGCAACGCATCATGAGCTCGATGCTCATGATGCCGAGCAGTCTCTCTCGGCGCCGTGTGCATGAACGTATCACACTTGGATCTTTCTACTGCGCACCTCGGTCTGACGTTTGTTTGCAGCGCCGAGTGCGCAAGCCACTTGCAGTAACGAAGACATTGGCCAGTATGGGATCAGCCTTGCGGTTTCAGTTTCCGAGCCGGGCCGTCGGGCGAGGTTTCAAGTGTCAGGCTCAGTTTAGCGGATTTTTGCCGGCCTGTGTCCTGTGTTGGCCTCCCCTTCATCATGCGGCTCACCCTCCCACGTCGGAGGAATCATGCCTTGTTTGCATGTCCGTCTCTTCGTGTGCAAGTCACCCTACCAGGTCTGTGCATTGCATCAGACCAGGCACGGCAGAATCAGGCTTGATCTGCAAGCATTGGTTTGCAGATCGGAGCTTTCTAGGCTTGCACGATTTTGCACGCTTTCCGCTGCCGAACTGAACTTTCTAAGAGATGCGAAACCAAACCCCGTTAAACTAAACACCACGCCGGTGAAACCCGAAAACCCTGGCAGTTTAAGCAGCCCGACATCCGATTTAAGCTGAATGCCTGTTAATCACTTCGAAAATCGGCTGAACTTGTGGCCGCCAGCAGTGTCGGTCCATGGCCTTCCTCGCAGACGTGCAGGAGCGAATCCGTCTACGCTGTCACAAAGAGGTGGCGAGGTGCCGAGGTAGGACGGACCTTAGCAGGAATTGGATTTTGCCATTCCTCAATGGTGGCACTGCGCAGGCCTTGTAAGTGATATGTCGGTGGAATCCTAACGTTCTCTCGTGGGTAAAGGCAAGTGGCGGCAAGTGGGGGCGGCTGTGAGAGTATGCGATCCATTCGCGCCAGGCCGGTCATTACTTGGCAGAGGATCGGACACGAGCAGGCAGCCCTGTCGCTTGCTTGTCCTGTCATCCCCCAGGTTTCAACGTTCTCAGATAGATTGAACTGAGGTTTTGGCTTCATCTGTAGCCGAGCAGAGTTGATGGCGGTCAGTTCATGTCTTCCTTTCGCTATGTTGCATTACCCTCCGCTGCGGTGGTGCGGAGGTTCAACAGAACCACGAAAAGAAGTGCAAGGGCATGACCTATCACCTGGAGTTCCCCTGGCACCGAACTAAGAGCAGCAGATGATCCAGCAAAAGTAGCTGCGGCAGTCCACAGACCTAGCGACACTCTGCGAGCATCTGCGAGCGTCGAGCAGCTGCAGAGGTCAGAGGAGACACTCGAGAAGATGGGCCCCCAATGGCTCACCAAGGCACGGACTTGCTGGCAACTGCGTCACCGATGGATCCAGAGCAGTTGGATTTGGGAGTGCAGCGGCCAAAGGCGTTTCATGCGGCTGGAACTCTCGACGAAAACAATGCCGTGACGGAGCTGCTTCTTGAGAAGAAAGTCAAGGCCTGCCCGCGCATGTGTGTGTGTGTGTGTGTGTGTGTGCGTGCGTGCGTGCATGCGTGGGTGTGTGTGTGTGTGTGTGTGTGTGTGTGTGTACTCCTCTCGTACATGAGGTAAGGGGTTCACTCCCCAATGTATCGTTCACCACTTTTGCAGGGGAGCGGAGGGGGTGTGGGGGTGCTCCGCCCAACGAAGCTCCCCTCACACCCCAGGTAACGTACCTGCATCGGTCTGCGCCTGGGCCCCGTCGCGGGCAGCTGGCGCGACCCTCATCTTCATTCATCTTCATTTCGTGCTTCGCCATTCCTTTGTGTCTGGCGTAGCAAGGGGCAGAAACCTTACCCCTGACGGATCATCTCATCTTGGTTTTCGTATGCCATTCCTTCGGTCTGGCATACGTGGTACAAAACTTCCATTTCATAAGTGTGAGCGCACCGCTGAGCTGTGAACCGGGTGCACACACTTTCGTTATCATCATCATCATCATCATCATCATCATCACCAACTTCATCTTTTTCATGCGCACAAGGTAGCCAGAAACCATCCGACGGTGCTCAGTCCCATTAAAAGTTTGTGTGTGTGTACTTGTGTCGAGTGTGATCGTGTGTGCTTGCCTGCATGCCTGCGTGCCTGCGTGCGTGGGTGGGGCGAGTCGCTTGGTGTACTTCAGGACTTTAGGACCTTTAGGACGGTCGTGGTTGGTGGCTCTGTACCTTATCTGCGTGTGTCGGCCTTGTCGCCAGGGATCTTGAAGCTGCATCTAGAATCTAGACAGGAGGTGAAGGAGGCCGCAGCAGCAGATTCCAGACCGTGCCTAACAAAGCTACGGAAACTGGTGGGAAGCAAGCAATAACTGATCACCCATTCTGTACCTGCACACGCTTCCTCCAGTTTTGCGAGGGAGGGAACCTCATATGTGGTCTGGCTGCACCCGATATGGTGCATTAATGCGCGTCAACAGATTGTGATACTGCTTCACATGTTCTATCAATATATCATTCGTCAACTCGTGCAGCCTGGAGGTCACAGCAGGAAACAATGCCGGGAAGCTCCTGGATAGCAATATGGCCACCGTGAATTTCGAGGGCACTGCTGGGGCTGGTTCAGAGGGCAATGTCGGGATAGAAACCTAGCTTCCGTTTTTTATTGTGTGTTTTCCGCTTTGACATGGCTGCATCACAGGTTCCTCTTCGAGGTCAGGTGTGCTCCTCAGAGGTTGACGTCCTTAAGATTCCGATGCAAAACGTAACACAGCCACATCAACACCTTACGTTGCCTTTGCAGTGGATATTTTGATCTAGACGCGAGCCTCAGCGACACTGACAATGCAGGTATAAGTGGCAGACACCGGACCTCCACACCAAGCTGTTTGCAAAGATTCCGTTTCCACTGTCTGGCGCAACAAGCAGTGATCGCTTGAGCAGTTCTGTGAACAAGCAGCCCATGGACTTCTTCGAGATCAATGCCTATCGTCTGTTAGAAGCTTCCATGCCTGTGAAGACTCCCAAGTTCTACTTTGGAGATATCAGCAATGAGTCCTCAAACTTTATTCTCATCACGGAGCGTGTGCCTTTCGCTGGTATGCCGCCCTTGCAACGATTCCAGATTGAGGGTCCTTACGTCAAGTGCAAAGACCATGAGATGGGAGGAACTGACAAAGAGCATTACTGCCTCCTGATGAACGTGCATGCCCGCATTGCTGCAGCACATAAAACGGGCAAGATGGGCACCGAGGAATTTTTGAGACAAAATCTCATGTACCAAGATGCTTCTTTTTACTCTGCGCAGCCTGAGAAGGCCTCTGGATTCCCAGTGCAAGCAGTTGCCGGTCAACTTCGGGTTGCCATCAAGTTCTTCTCAGAGACGGCGAAGCTCCTTTATCCGGACTACGTAACAACGCAGGCATTTCAAGAGAAGTTCTTCAATACCATGATGACGTCAAACGCATACTCACAGGAGCTGACGCGCTGGAAGCTCAAGGATGCGGACTTCGTGGCGCTGGGACATCAGAACTTGAACATTGACAATGCATACTTCTGGCGAGACGATGACGACCGCCTCGACTGTGGCATTTTCGACCTCGGAGGCCGCACTTCAGCCAGTGTACAAGTAGCTAACGATGAGTTGGAAGCGATTTGTTGCTGTGCGCGGTAAGTGTCAAGCCAAGACTGCATGATCTGCGGCAGATCGTAGCACGCAAGGCTTCGGCGCCAGCCCCCTGCACCACCGCATCTGGTGGGGACTCAACTGTGCTGAATTTGATCTGGTGGCCGAATACTTGGAGGCTTGTGTTTTTCTGGTTCGCAGTGCCGGCGTCGGCAGTGTCGTTTCGTCGGAAAAGCAAGCGGTCGCGTGCGAAACAAGAGGTTGATGGGGTCGTACATGTAGTCTGTGACGATTAACTTGACAACAGGTCCTCGAAGATAAGCTATTGCGACAGTAGTACCTTGCGACCTAACATGCTGCACAAGATGTGAATCGATAGACATTATTCTTTTGAATTGGAGTACCTTAGTATTACGTCTTTGCGAAGCTTCTGGTTATGCCATGAGAAACCTAACGCCTGCACAGGAGTATTTGCAGCTCTTCATCGACACGTACCATTCTGCTGGTGGGCCACTCCTAGATAAAGGGACGCTCAGAACAGGTGTGGTTCTCACGGCGCTCGAAAACATGCAGTACATGGTGGCTTCCATACCCAACTGCATGAAGATGTGCAGCGCCAAAGAGTGGGCAACGATCCAGGATCCTAAGGATCGCAGGATAAACGATGACATCGGTGGGAAGAGTACCTTGAGGACTACCCTGAAGGCCGGCAATTTCTTGCGGCCGCAGCCGCGCCCCTTGTGCAAAACACTGTTCTTAAAGTGGCAGAAACGCAAATCCCTGTTAAGTTAGCATTCGGTCTCGGAGCAGGTCCTGCTGAACGGCCTCCGAGTTCTTGAAGAGATGAAGGCGGATGAAGTACTGCAAGACTGGATTGATCAGGTTTATGTCAAAGCACTTGGCCACACGCCCAAGACAACATCGATGATCTTTGACAACGAAGCTTTCAAGGCAGCGTGAGCCCGGATATGCGCCGCACCGAGTCCGCCGGCCAAAGATGCCTCGCGAACCCAGTGCTCGGGAATCCTCTCTTCCGAGTGCTCGGGCACCTGTCTTCCATCTCTTTAAACCGCCGAGCTCTACGGGTGGCCCTAGGTCGTTCGAAACCTTCCCATCCCGCGATCTGCACAGAGCCTTTTTGCCCGCTCAGCTGATCTGCTTTTGGGCTCCACAAAGTTTGACTCAGTCCATGGAACATGCTTCACTCACTGCCTGCCATGTTTTGCAGCACCGCCACTACGTGCAGATGTGGGCCGAAGCAGCAGACAGCATTCCTTACTCTAGGTTCGATCTGTACAGAAAACAAGCAAGCACAAGACTATCCACGAGGATGTCACTGTAAACTTGGGTGTCGTCCTGGTTCTGCTCATGGCGGATACTTGCGCAGCAGGCTCCGCTTCTTCGGCTGCTGTCGGTGGGTATGCATCTGCGGATATCGGACTAGCAGCATGCAGGCAACGGCAGCGTCTGCTGGCTCTGTGAAGGCAGAGACAGCGCTGCCTGTGTAATTTGCGGGCCCGTGGCGGCGTCCTTTGAATCTCGCAGTCTCGGCTGCCGGCAAGACCCGAAATCGCGGCGACGGCATCGCCTCCTGAGGCCAGTACCTGCGGCCAGACGAGCGCGTTCGTGGGCCAGGCTTGGGTTGTCTGGGGTCCAGGGAACATGACTGAATTGGGCGCGACAGAGGAGGGATGGATAGGTCGTTGCAGATCTGCGGGGCGTTGCTCTGGTAATTGGCCGTTGCAGCTGTGCACGACGCGGCTTTAATGTGGCTTTAACAATTAGCGGGCCCAGCAGGATCCCCGAAGAAGGCCCAAGAGTGTAAGCTCTTCAGACTTGTCTGGCAAGTCTGGGGGTCGTACTAGTTCCACGGAGTGGCGCCTTGTCTGGAGCATGAGATAAGCAGGACGGCTGGGCCTGCGACGACTCCCGAGATGAGAGGCAGTGAAAGCTTCGAATGAGACACTGCCGGCCCCCTCCACTCTCTGAATGTCTTGGCAAGCCGTTTGCGTGTGTGGCAGGTTTGGGAACTGGACCTGTTCTTCCGTGGAGGACGATGATGCATCTGATCTGGGTTGCGAGCGGCACATAACGACTGCCTTCGCTTCCAGAGTATCAGTTCTCAGGATGCAAACCTTCAGCTGCTCAGCGACTCCGAGGTGCTGCAGGGTCTGAACTCCACACGGTCACTGTTCAAACAGTCGCCGTGTGCACCAGCTACATCCCAGCAGGCTCTGCTTCAGCGAGGGGATGCTTCCGCTGCCTTCGAGCGCGCCGAGCAATGCTGCCGTAGCTTCGAGAAATGGCTGTGTGTGAGTGCCGTACTGGCCGTATTGCAGGCCGGATTCAGAGAGACTTTGGCCGAGGCAGCATGGAGGATCGGCTGAGTGGAGGTGGACGAGGGCCCCTTCGCTACCAGGCGAAGTGACGAAGGAGAGAGGAGAGTGATACCTTTTTGTAGAAAGACAGCTCTTCGTCTCGAGGAGGCCAAGCCTGGAGAACTCGAGCTGCTCTGCCTGGGATGGGCACAGCGAATAAGGCGCCCCTAGGCCCCTAGTCAGTGCAAGTGGGAGGTCACCCCGGGCAGGGCAAGCCTTGTGCGGCAGAACTACTCCTCCATGGTGGAAGATACAAAGAAATTCTCAAGGCTGCTGGACATCAGACGGCATTGCTTTCCTGTGACAAGGGCGGTTTGCCTCAATCTCAGACATGTTTCAGGCTGCATGAAGAGATTGTCGGTGGGGGCGAGCCAGACCTTCTCCACAAGTTCGAGAAGCAGGTCTGAGACAAGCTGCACAGTCCCCCGAGCTGTTGGTGTTAAATGGGGCCAGGTGACTGGAGCCTCAGTGGTGGACCATGTCGAGGTGGGAGTGCCTGTATAGAACAGCAAGAGGCACGAGCCTGGGAGACCTGAGACTGCCCGAAGACCCCATCCGATGTGATGCCTTCTGGCGTGGCAGGTGCTCGGGGCAGCAGCAGAGCTCGCTAGCCAGTGCAGGGACAGAGCGCAGCCCTTGACATTTCACCAAGAAACGTTTCAGATTCTCGACACTGGGAGGAGAGAGCCTTTGAGTCTTCACTCCCTGAATTTTTTCCCTGCACCTCCTGGTAGACCTGTTGTAGATGCCGCTGTCGATGCTGATGGGTACGACATTTTCGTTTGTATTGTGACTTGTCGACTCACACTGCGCGATGGAGTCTGCGTGATTCTTTTAGGTCTTGCCGTCAGCCTCAGACAGACCCCCGGGCTCATGCCGTGTGTTCGTTCTGCACTTTGCTCGCGAGAGATGCACAGCTCTAGAACTACGATGATGCGTGTAGTAAGTTCTTATCTCCGAAATCTGTATCCCTTCTCCATGAATCCCAGCCTGGATCCAACCTTCACGGCTTTTGAAGACTCGGTCTTGACGGATCTCCGCTTCCCGAGGTGGCGCGTGGCTACGCCCCAAAGATCGTATTGGACCACGCCTCCAAGGTGCCGCCTCGCTCGCAGCCTCGCTCGAGGCTTGAAAGAGACCCGACGATCCATCTCTCCAGTACTGAGAGGCTGTGGCGGGTTTGCAGCCGCTTCCGGGCAGCGATTTCCCAGGGCTTAGCTCTTTGCGCGCGGTTCCTCAGTGCAGCGCTTCATCGCAGCATGTGAGGCTAGAGATGTCTTGATTAGCATAATGACCGAGCTACCATGCAGGGAGCGCGAAACGGTTGCTTGTAGCGGTTCAGGGTTTAGGGGCCACGTGATCTGATACGTGGTTCTATGAGTTCTATGTTCGGGGCCCCGCATCAGGGCCTCAACCGTTACGATGCATGAGCTGATTACTGGGGTTTAGCGCACCGAGCCAGCAGCCAACAAAGGCGGGCTTGGTGGTGCAACTAATTATGTTCCTGCGGGCTTTCCTGGAAGAAGCCTGCAGTAACTCATCAGTCCAGGTCCTTCGTAGCATTTGTTCTAGGATGGAAGTTCTTGAAGCCCAGGTGCGCATTTGCATGTGTCCCGTGCGCAAGCCCACCTGGAGTTGGAGCTCTGGAAACAGGCCAAGGAGGACAAGCTGTCTCTGGGCAAGCGACATGTGCGACCTGTGTTGCACAGACTGCAGACTGCCGTTGGTGGTGGTTCCTTCCACGTCTGAGCGGCAAGGAGTTAGGAAGGAAGGTGGGCTTGTCCTCGCTTTCTTGCTCGAAGGATGCCAGCGCAGCCTTGCGCTTTGACCCTTCGCTTGCTGAGGCTCTGAGTCTGTTGCTTGACATTGCTGGATATGTGGATATGCATGCCACATCATCTCCATCCCTGATGACTTGAATGCCCAGTGCAAGTCATGCACATGCGATTGTGACGAAATAGTGACGTAGTCACTTCTGTGATGCTTACTCAGCAGGCCAAATACATGCTGAAGGCGGCAGAGTGTGAGAGCTGGTAGGCTGTTCCTTGCCTGTCGCGCACAAAGGCTGCGCCCAGCCTGAGGCAAAATGCCCTCCTCGGTCTTTCGAGTGGAGCTCGGTGAGTGTGGGTCGGGATTTGCTGGGCGTCTCTGTGACCATGCCAAGCTCAAGCACTTGACGCCGAGGGATTGCAGTAGCTTCCATGAGTGGCGACGCCAAAGCAAGCCGGCCTGCTGCGAGGAGCTGTTTCGCAGTTCTCATGAGGACAACAGGTCAAGTTGTCAACGGATGAGTCGAACGAGCTCGCTGGTGCTTCCAGATTTTGCGGTGCAGGCGGCGAAACACGAAACTGTAAGCTTTAAAAGGGCTCCGACTAGGACCTGCTGAGGGCGCCGCCTCAGGCCCCAACCACGAAGTGTAAACTGGCAGTGCAGCACGTGGATCGCAAGAAGCACGGCCCAGCGCTGCACTGGGTCACTAGTCCCACGGCAAGCTCTGGCTGCAAGGCCCTCGAGCCTGGAAAGGCGAGGTGGCTCGGTTTACGCATGGCCAGCCTAAGGCGAGGCAACGTCCCACTTGGAGGACAGAGCTCTAATGGAATGGGCGGTCTGTGCTGGTTCGAAGAGTGCGATGGATGAGCGCTGTTCATCAATGTAGGGAAGCAGAGGAGTGGGAAGAACTGCAAACTTGAAGGAAAGCATTTGCGAGGAGAAGTTGGATCCCTTGTCATCTGATCGGCGAGTCGCCGAAGTACAACCTCCTGGATATAAGCTTGATAACAAGGCCCGCCCTCTCCCAAAAGACAGCTGCATACTAAAAAGGCCCTGGCGAACCTCTGGACCCGATGGTCACCTGGACGGTGGCTTTGCGACGAATGGTGTTTTTCGAATGCCCGACGTCTGAATGCTGCAGGCAAAAACCGGCATACCGTGTTTTCGCATCCGACACCTGGAAGCCCTATGCCCAACCTCGCCAAATAGGAAACCCGAGGTTCAAGCCTGCTGGCTGGCTTGGGTGAACTTCAGACCCCACAACACCTGAATTCCCTGAACCCTGAGCATCAGTACAGCATCTGTGCAGAACGGGTCTGCGAACCAAGCAATGAACCCGGGCACGGTTCATGCCAAAAGCCTTTCAGGGGCTCGGGTGCTCTAGGTCCCAACCCCTCAGACATTGCTAGAAGGCGCGATCGTTCAAGGCTTGCGGTCAATATGGAAGAACTGACAGTTGCTGTAAGTGGTGGTGCTCTTTCAAGACTCTGGCTACAGCTGGTCTTCCTTCTCAGCCACAACATGTTGTCACAAGGTAACTCGGGTCAGAGGGTTTAAGGCCTCTGAAATTCAAGCGCTCTTCGTGCAACCCATTTGGCCGCCTGCTGGCACGGATGCTTGCTTCTCCAGACTGCACAGAGGGCTCCGCACACAAGACATTGCTCTTTGGTTCCTCGAGACGCGGCGTCCACGACTGCTCGGAGACTGACCGAACGGCAGAAGCTCTGCATCTGCATCTTCGATGTGCCTTCAAACTTGTTTTGCTGCAGGCCTTGTGTCTGGCTCAAGTGTCACAGTGACACACAGGACGCCCTCGTTTCTGCGCCATGTTTGCTCCAGAGTCCAGCGATGTGGCTCTTCCGATGATGTTTTTGATGTGGTTTTGCTGGGGCGTCTGGCCACCCTTAAGGAAAAAGGGAGGCTCTGACAATGAGCACTTTGGGTTAACAGCCGTCATTTCCCAGAACTTGCTGTGCATGTTCTTCTCCTTCACACTGGGAATGGCAAACCCGGATGGTGTTCCGAACTTTGACAGCAGTCAGTTTCCGCAAATGGTCGCGCAAGATACTTCGGAAAGGCTTCCTGCAGTGCTGCTTGCAGTTTCGTCCGGGGTTGTGATCTGTTGTGCAGAGTTCGTCCTGGCCAAGGCTATTGATGTGTTGGGTGTGGCCATTGCAGTTCCTACCGGCTTCGGAATTTCTATGCTGTGGGGAACAGCGGCCAGCTATGCCATCGAACCCACGGCAGATGCCAAGCTCCTCTTCACAGGCCTAGGGGCTTGCTTGCTCGGCCTCTTCTGCGATGCGGCCTCGAAGTTGGACACCCACAGAGAAGAAGCCTCACAGCAGGAGCAGGGAGCCATGACAAGTGATGTGGAGGCCTGCGCTTCCAAAGTGCATCTGGCCTCCGGATCTGATATGGATCGCCGCAGGTTTTTGCTGCCAGTTGTGGGAGGGCTTATGTTTGGATGCAATCCTCCCATGCAGACGGCTGCCGCCACAATCGGAGAACTGTCTCCTTATGTCCAAATGGTTGCCTTCATGCTGGGAAAGCTCCTTACGATTTTCCCCTTGGCTTGTGCCTATGCCTACCTTTGCAAACCAGGCGGAGGCGGAGGCGGCAGCGCTTTGAAGCTGCCCTGCGCAGTGTGGAGCGGCTACGTGGAGGCCTGTCGCCAGCGCCCAAGGGCATTGCTCTTGGACGCGCTCTGCGGGGCTTGCGTTGGACTCGGGCACTGCATGTTCTTTGTTGGCACACCTGTGGTGTCAAAAGCCGTGGGTTCCATTTTCGGAACTTCGAGCTTGCTGCTCTCTGTTCTTCTCGGCGTGGTTCTCTTCAAGGAGCTTGCAGGAAAGAGCCTCACTCAGAAAGTGCTTTGCGCTCTTAGCGTTTCTTTCCTGAGCGCAGCACTGGCGCTCATGTCTGCGGCTTCCCTCCGAGAGTAGCAAGAATTCGACACCAGCTTCGTCATTTGGACAGCAGGAGAAGAATGTTTGCAAGCTTTCTCGATTGTTTCCAGGACGCAGTTCCTGTCTTTTCTTGACAGATTCCTCTTGGATTTGCTTAGAGAGATCTACTCGCACCTTGCCTCCCCGGCCATGTCCAGGCCGAGCATCGCGAGGGCTTCAAGTTTTGCGACCATCGCTTTTTGCATGCTACTCCATTCTGCATCCGGTTTAATTTGTTTGCACGACCGGCTTCCGCTTGCAACATCTTTGCAAAAGAGCATGGATAGGCAGAAGCCGAGTTTTGGAGGGTGCAGACCAGCTGAAGCTGACAAAAGCTTACTGCCCTGCTTGAGCTGAATTGTGCATAGTGCTTGCAAGGAAACAGATTCTCCTTAGCAGGCTACGGCGTAACTTGTTCAACTCTGCTGCGTAAGGTCCGTGCCGTCAGCAAACAGGGACATGTTCAGTCACTTCCTGTATCTTTCGATATGGGGAACAAACACGGATTCTGCTTCAAGCGCAGTGCACGATTGAAAGGTGTAGCAGATGCATCACCAGTGTAGACACAATGATTTGCTCAATTGGCCGCAGTGTTCTCTGCGTCCATGTGCACATCCGCTTGGCACAACTGAGCAAGAGTGCGGAGGGTGATCGGGAGGGGGGGGCACGGGCTGATTGCAGCCACCAGTTTGAGAGGACTGCGCAAACGTGGGAGGTCCTCCATACCTGGAGAGCGCGGGTTGGTAGTGAAGCCTTCGCGGCATCGAAGGCAACTGCGGGGCCCCGAGCCACCGACGCCGCGTTGTTGAAACCTTCAGCGATCAAAGGTTGAGTCGGCCACAGGGTCACGATGTGTGCATTTAGAGGTCAGCAGGGCTGCCAGTGATCGGGGATGCGTGCAGTCGTGAGGAACGCATCTTGTCGCATGCCTGACTCTGTGGCAGCAGCTTCTGGACATGTCGTGCTTGGCATTCGTGGCTCAAGCGTGATGTATATTGAAGTGACTATTTTTTGCTGGCTTCGAGCGCAAGGACCTAGCAGAGTTCGCATGCAGTGGATGTGTAGTGTGTTGTGCCTAGAGCTTCTTGCCTAGGGCGTAGAACAGCTCAAGGCCGCCATAGGGAGATCGACACCCTGCATGCTCATTGCGAGGATTCGAGTCCGGCCCTGTGCCGGGAAGCCTTTGGGCCTGAAGCCTGGTGATAGCAGCGATCTCAGCTGGGACTTCGATACGAGATGATGCATCGCACGGACCGTCGTTCCTGAAGGAATTTTCCGTTAGTTTCAAGCGCGCCCTCCAACAGACTGAAGCGGAGTCCCTTAGAGCACCCCTCACAACTCTCGCTCCCCTTGAGGCCTTTCGGGCTGCATGCCTCCACTCCCCGCCTCGAAGGGAAACACGGAGGCGATGGCGATGCTGGTGTCATGATCCTTGTTGCTCAAGGGCTCAGTATATCTGTACAATCTGTACACTGTGAGAGCCAGGATGAAGTGAAGAGATCGGAGGAATTCTTGAACCAGCTGAGCTTGGGCATGGGGCTCGGGATTGCGGCAATCGGCTTCGATGGATGGAGCTCCTGCCGAGGTGTCTGAGCTGAGATTGACAGATTGCTACATTGCTACGGTTGCCCAGGAAGCACAGCCACCGGGACCCCGCTGACCCGCGATACTGCGCGGTTCGAGGTCAGCAGTATTGCACCAAGTGCCATGTTGCCGTCCCATTCACCGGACACTCCGAGAGCCGAAAGCTTTGAACTTTCCCATCTGGCTTGGAGGCCAGCCGCTCTAGATCGGGGTCTGCATCTCGACATCCAGAAGCAGAGGCTACGGCTAGGGCGGGAGCTCAGTGCCAGTAAGGGAAGCTGCAGCCAGCTCTTTTTCCAGGTGCCTGGAGATGGATGTCATCTCTTAGAAGAAGAGGAGGTGGGGGCAAAGCAACGGGCTTCTTAAGTGTTCTGTCGGCGGATTGGATTTTCTGTTGTCTCAGTGCTTTGCATCGTAGAGCTTGAGAAGCTAAGCCTCGCTATCCGGTAGCCATTTGCACTGAGAAGCTGCGGAACTCCAGTTCTCCGACTCCGAGACAGTCTCCTGAAGCCACAGCCATGGTCTGGTACAGCTATGGTAATATGCTCAATGCTTTGGCGGTTGTCATCTCGAGCCTGTCATATAACCGAGACACGTTTGCAGACTCGGTGGCTATGCAGCAGAACCAAATGTACCAAGAGAAGAACTACCACATCAATTGGATCGCATCAGTTCGTGAAGAGATGCGCGACTTTTTGACCATCTTCATGGGGAAATTGCAGAACACTGGGTTGCTGAACACGCTTCTCTTCGGTATATCGACAGGCTTCCTTTGTGAGGGCGAGCTGGATAAAACTGCCCCAGATTCTCTGGTATTTGCATATTACAGCTTTCTGATTATCAGCATGCTGTACTTTGGCTGCTCAATCCTTTTCTGCTTCATTGGGCTAGCAATCGCTTGTGCAGAAAGTCGCAGGTTCCTTCTGAAGTTTGTGCCAGATGTTCACGATGCTTACAATGTTGATTACATCACGAAGCTTCTTCAATGGGAAGGCAAGGGCGAGGCATTGCGCATCCCATTTGTCATGGAGCCTCGTCGTCTTGCAGAGAAGAAAGAGAAGCAGAAGCAGGCAGGGGCCGCCGAGGCGAACACGGAAAAGGAGGACTTCTACGATCATTTTGAGAGCATGATGCACGAGTTCAATGAGCCAACAGAGGTGGAGTATCTTCGCAAGGGTGGCACGACCACCCGCTTCTGGGAAGGCAGCCCCACCAGTGCCGAGAGCGACGAGGAGATGGGAGAAGGAGAACGACTCGAGAACAGCTTTTATGAGGTCATCGGACGATACAGCCTGCTTTGGGACTCTTGCTCCCTGGCAAGTCACAACTCGATGATGGTGGGCGTGTTTGCATTATGGCAAAGCTTTTCGTATTATTTGTTCGGCCACGACATGAACCGATCGTTGCAGGCTCGACTAGGCATGTATGTCACGACCACGATCGCTAGCCTTGCCCTCGGGGGTCAACTTTGCCGGCTGCTAAGCGTGAAGACCGAGCTGGACAGGAAGGAACATCATGGCGCAGGGGAGGAATGTTTCGACCCAGGACGCAAACTTAAGCATTGGGTTCTCAAGTTACTTATGATTCTGGCACCAGCTCTGGTGATGAGCGGTGTTCTGTGTGCAAGTGAGGTTCTGCTGGTCCAAGGGTATTTGGCTCACGGAGCGCTTCATGCGTACCTGGCGGTGTTCCTCTTCCGAGCTTTGCGCAAGTTGCCAGGACAGGCTGAGCAAAGCGCACTTGGAAAGGGCTTGCCACCGGCACGGCCCGAGAAGATGAGGCGATTGCGAGGAAAAGGCTGTGGAAGCGATCGTGGCGAGATCGGGCTGGAGGCACGGGAGTCGCCAGAGCCGATGCTTCGCCAGCTCCTTTTCGAGAGCGAGAAGAAAGCGATGCAGACGGCCATATTCATGAAGAGACTCCTGCTCAAGAGCCACCTCGTAGCCTGCCTGCCCTGGGCTTGGTTGGCTGTGGGTACTTTGCAGACTATGGCAGTTGAGGCTGGCAATGGTTCAAAGGTCGATATGACCGAGGTGAACGTGACTTGGGCATCGCATGCCTTCTTCATCGCCCGTGCGATGACGTGCTCGCAAAGCGGCCAGGTCTGGATTGCCAGCGACGACGGCGTGTTTGCGATTGCACATGGGGCGGACGGCGGTGGTGTTGAAAGTATCGATTGTCCAGCTTTGCCTCTTGGTGAGAACGTGAAGGATATTTCCGCCTTGTGCTCGGAATCCAGCTGTTGGCCTGCAGTGCTTGGATCAAGTGGAAAGCTTTACAGCTGTTCCAACCCAGACGGAGCCATAAATCCCTTTACAGAGATGCCAGGAATCTCTGGTTTTGCTTTGGCAGGTGAAGGTTTCTATGTTCGGAAGCACGACAGCATCCTTCACTTCCCAACCCGAAAGTCTGTGACTCGTCCTCTGCCGGGTCTCATTGGTTTTGACATCCTTCCCAATGCTGTAGGGGAGGACCTCTTCCTTTTCTCAGCAGATAGGGCAGCAAGCATACAACTGAATGGGGCAACGAGCGGACTGCGGAAGTGGGCGTTGCCTGCCCAACTGCCCCCCTTGCGCGCGGCTTGTGCGATCGCCCCGACCACAGTACTGGCCGCGGTGCAGGATCCACGTTCAGAGGACCACCCGCGGCTCCTCCTCTTCGACTTGAAGTAATGATTCAGACTCTGGTTGACGTGCACGGCGCAGCCCGGCACGCGTGTAAAAATCTCGAAAGGTGTCAGCTTCCGCTTGTGAACAGAGGTTCGGATAAAGACTGGGGCTGTGCACTCGTGGCACGGCAAGATCGTGAATGTTCAGCGGTGCGGGTGCAGATGTCGCTTTTGAGATTTACTCTGTGCTGCGGATATTGCGGCGAGCCTGCAAACTGTAAACCAGAAGGCTGAAATCAGCCATGCATCAAATCGCACATGGAAAAATCTCTTCTACCTACATTGATGTTTTCCTGAATGCCGCTGGTTAGCAAAGTACTTTTCCAACGGTGAGCCCCAGTCGGCTCCTATCAGCTATTGTGTAATCCCCAAAGTCACAAGGATCCAGCTGCTCATTCAAGCACTTGTCGGCTTAGTGCCTAGCACGGATCCTCTGGGATTTTGCTGAAGTTGCCATGTACAGAAAAGGAGATTCGATGTGCTGGGACCTGGCTGAAACCAGCCACGGATGGCAGTGCAATGCAGTGCATGAAAATGCACAGGGCTGGGGCCTGGCATGGTGTGAACGTGTGCCTTCTGTGCTTCGTTCAGGAGGTTGAGCCAGAGGTTGCTGATCCACAGAAATGCCGCGAGGACTGCTCAGCTGACACGACCACCAGCCGAGTTTTGACGTTTCAGCAATTTTGTTCTAATGGCTGTTAGAAGTGGAGATCTAATCTGGAATACCAGGGGTTCAGTCATAGCATCGACGCAAATTGCATCGTACTGTAACAGTTTGTAGAAAATTTCAAGTACGTCGGCAACCGCCGAACTGTTTGTCAAGTCTAAATGACCACCATGTCTGATGTTACATTGGGATCCTGACTGCTTTGTGCCTGCCAAGCATCTCACACGGATTGCAACACCTGAACAGGACGTGCAGATCAAGCAACCGCCTGGCAGAGTTCTGAGAAAATCGTCGGACTCAGCTCATGCAATGCTTTCACTTGCCGTCGTCGGGACGAGATTCGGATAGTTTGCAGTTTGACTTTGTCTGGAACAAGGTCCATCTCCAAAACAGGAGTTTATGGAGTTCCGGCGGCGAACGTGACCTGTCGAGTTGTGAGGAAGTTCATTGGACAGTGCCTTGCTAAACCCAGACCCTTCGCCACTACCTTCCTCAAACAAATGTGTCTCTTCGGCGGCTGTAGGTGAGACTGAATTTGCCTTTCCATCCAGCCAGCACCATCTCAGCCGCCGATTAGATTGCCTTTGTCGCCACGAGGTATACCGCGCCTGGGAGCGAAATGACCCAGGCTGGGGCTGGCAAGCCACGCTGGCCAGACAGCAGGTAAACAAGGACACTCAATGGAGGATCTGTTTCCTTGACAGTCTTCAGAGCCTTTGGAAGCCCAACGAAACGGACACTGCAACTTCCGTCGAGCCTGAAGCTCTGCAGGTGGGCCGGGTTAGCCGCCCCTCTGTCGACTTGTGCGACTCGGATGATGCAAAACACGAGGAGGCCGCATCCCGAGAGCAGAAGGGGGGATAGGTTTGGCAAAGCCCTGGGTCCAAGTGGGTGGTTGTCAAAATTAGGGCCCTTTTTTGGGTACCTTAAATATTAGATTAGGTGCCGTATTATAATAAGGACCCAACAGGGACCCTAATTTTGACAACCACCTCAGTGACCCAGTGAGAGGCGAGGCGGCTCTCGACAAATCTCCAACGGGCGTCGGGGGGTGATCCGGACCGTACTTCTTGATTGGGGGCCCGCGCGCAAAGAAGCAAAAACGAGCTGTGGGACCTAAACTTAAACGCCTCTTCGATCGTTGCCAAGAACGTCCGGGAGAACTGAGGCAGCGAAACCTTGCGGAGGTTTGGCTTAGAAGTGCTTCCAAGGAGGGGGCAGAGGTCACTTCGTGGGATGATTAGCAAGCCCTCTGATTTTCGGGGGATCATCCAGCATGACCATTTCGTACCGCCCTGTGATGCACTGGTCTGGTAGGGGAAGCCAAGAGACCGGTATAGAGGCATGGCCAACAATCATGCAAGTTATGGCCTGTAAAGCAGCAGCAACAGCAGCTTTGCAGTGGCGGCAGCGACAGAAGTTGCACCGTGCTGAAAAAATCGCGAGATATCGCAAGGCCTGTCGCCAAGCCATGCTTTCAACACAGGTTGTGATCTCCGGCCCGTTGCAGCAACGTTTTTGGGGCTTTTGGTGGAGATGGAGGCCTGGGCCGCCACTCGTGAACTGCTCCTCGTTCCCGAAGCTTGGCCAGCTTGCGGCTTGCGAGGTGGTGTGTGCTCCAGGGCTCAACCATGTACATCTACCGAGACGAGGCCACAGAAACCTGTGCCTTTCCTGGCAGTTTTCAGCACCATGCCGGCCGTCTGCGGTCACGACACCAGGGTCCTCTGTCTCGAGAGATGCATTTGCAGCTAAGTGTTGGCGCCGGCCGCTCAAGCCGAAAGGCTGTAGCCCTGCAGATCTTTGGAAGCTGACGATGCCCTGCATGTGTTTGAAAGGCATAGTTTCTTCACCTATCTCTCCGCCAGCTTTCCCACTTGCCCAGACAAACCGACCTATTCCCTACTTAAGGAGGCTTTTGCTTTCTCCGTCATGGCTCGCCAAAGCCTTCGACGGATGTAGCTGAGACGCCAGGAGCGGGCCCCCAAATCGGGAAGAACTCCCCAGCCTGCACCCGGCGAGTACACACATTGCTCTTGCTGGGGTTATGCCTTCAAAAAAGGAAGATCCTGCGGCATGCCATCCTCGTCCGAGAAGGCTCGCACGCATCCACAATGATGCAAACCTCAGTTCTTAGAGCAATGACTTTGCACCAAGCTGCAGACCCCAACCTAAGAAGGAGAATCAAGCAACGGTTGCTGCCTGTTTGCGTGTTTATTTGACTTGCGAACAGCTTCCATGCCAGGTGTCTCAAGAAGAGGCCCTGCGGACGGCAGAGTTTGATCTGCTGAGGCGAATCAGCCTGCTGTCGTGTTTTGAGAGTGTTGGACATCTCACCCCACGCTGTCGAAGGGGTTTCATTCGCTCTCTTTGTTAAAGCTGCTGTGTCAGGCAGTTGCAGAAGGCTGTGCGCACAGTGATCCTGACAGCAACGGTCAGCAACAGGCCCACAAGGTTTTGTGTGAAACGCATTCATGCCTGAAGTCGAGACGGTTTAGGAGTGTTCTTTTTCGGAAATGTTAAGAGGGCTCGCTCGAGTTGCGTAGATGGCTGTTTTCAGCGACTGCCCCTGGCCAGCTGCGTCAATTGCTCGCACGGCCTCTGCTCGCAGCTCTTCAGACTGATCCGCAGGCAGGGCGGTCGCAGTTTTGAAGTGCCTTTCCCCCTTGCAGGGTCATCCTGGTTGCAAAAACGTGGTCGGCTCTGCTTCGGGCATTAGCGTTGGGGCATTGCAACGTTTAGCCTCGGCCAACGATGCCCGAGTTAAACAGTCGTGCAAGAAGCTGTTGCGAGGTCATCCTCCGGCTAGTGTTTGGAGATACTGCTTGTTGAACCGACGGGTTTTCTCACCTGGAACAGCCAGCAAGACCCAGCTTCATAGCGCAGTTGCCTCCTGGCGGGATGCCGGCGATTCCGCGGTGCGAACCCGGCGGTCGACGACTTCCTGTTCTTGTTGGTCGTGCCGGAGTTTACAGGTGTGAGTGCGGGCCAGACTGGTAGGCTACTGTACGGTAGAAGGGAACATGGCCTTGGCCCAGATGACGTAAGAGTTGAATGGCAAGTTTTGCTAGTTGGTCAGCGACCAAGTTTGGTACAAGTCAGCTTTACAGTCGCAGCGTGGAATGATGTCAAGATGCAATATGGTAGCACTTGACGATGGTCTAGGAATCAGCAGCTGCCCATATCTTGCTTGCAGGTTCTTTCAACAACGACCTTGACTTTGTGGCACACCTCTGTGTGAGTCATTCTGTAGCCAGCTTTGCTCGCAGCCCAGATTCAAGCTTCCGACAGGGCAAAGTTGCCGCCGCTTGGCGGCTTGGCTGTGCTTTGCTGCATTGCTTTCGGATCGCAGGCGCGCCAGCTCTTTGAGGACGAGCGGAGAGCCCGGCACTCGGCTTTTGCCGACAGCAAAGCCGCAAGTCTTTGGATTGGCTGCAAACGGAGCGTTTCGTGCGGCAAGGTGAGTCACTTCTACTGCGACTCTGCCATCATGAGGGACGAGGTCGATGGTCCCTGCCCCCTAGCAAACAAAGGATTGCTGGGGGTGGCTTCCCGAATCAGGAGCTGCACCTGGCCTTTGTGTCCTCGCTCATGGCGCCGAAACCTTGGAAGCCTTTCATAGAGGCACTAAGTGGTGACGGTTTGTCCTGGCCCGGCCTTTCGATGTGACGAGCAGTCTCAGCCGCGATCGCAGCGATCCGACGAGGTTGGAGCCTGTCAATTTTCATCCGGACTCGCCTTACTTGGTCGCAACCTTGTGTCACCTAGAACACTTTGTAAGGACTCGTGCTTAACCCTCACAATGCTTCTGCGACCTAGGCGCAGCAATGCCTTCGGGCCTCTTTGGACAATCTTCGACTCCAGCCGGTTCTGTGGCTCCAACAGGCCCTGCAGCGAGTTGGAGGGTCTGGCCCAGGCTTGCTTGCGGGTGCCGTGTACGGCGTACCGGGTCGCCAGGGCAGTGGAAAGCTGGAAGATCACGTGCCGGCGGCTCGCCCGGACAAGGCGGTCGGCTTCCAGCCCTGCGCTGTCCCGTGCTCTGCGCTGTGCTGGGACATGGTCCGGGTCCGACAGGTGCTGCCAAAGACGGACCTGGGAGCCCTCAGAAGCAAGGGCTCCTTGTCCAGCGTGTTGGCAGGCTTCCTGGCAGGCCGCCAATTTTGTTGCTGCAGAGGAGTTCGTCCTTTTGCCGAGTGCCGCTCCAGGCAAACGTCAAGTGGACCGGACCCTCGAAGAAGGTGCGCGGCGCAAGTCTCGGCTCGCGGCCTCTTTGGGTTTCCGCTTTGGTGTTTCAGGTCCGGCGAAGTGGATCGACAAGGTCGCAGAGAACAAACATGACTGCAGTTGGATGCCAAGAGAATGTTAAATGACAGCCTGAAATGTCCTGAAGCGAAGTTAAACTTGCACGTCGCACTAATACTAAGTGCCTCTCGGGAACTCGGGAAATTGATGCTGAAAGGCCTGGCAGCCGAAAGTGCTGGTGCGGCCGACGCCGCACAGGCTGAAGGGAAGACTAAACAGCACCGCAGTGCTCAGGTTTCTGAGTTGCTGAGACCTGCTTGATAAATCGTAGCATTAGCAGACTTGCTCCGTCTGGTAGGCAGTTCGGGTGGATGGGAAGGTTCTGGCTGACCGACAAGCCTTGCCTGTGTCAAGATGTGGTGCCCGGAGGGCAGCGCTACAGAGCTACCGGGATTTGACCTTTGTGTGCTCGTTTTGCAGGCAGCCGATGGTCCTGATGCAGCAGACATGCTGCAAGACAACACGGCTGAAAAGCTGGAGGAGGTCCTGCCAGGGCATTACCAGCTTTCTTGTGTCTGACGTGGCCTTGTTGCCCTGCGAGCCTCACACCATTCATTCTGTACTTGCAGAGCCTCAGAGAATGGTGATGTCCAGAGGCTGCCCTGGCCTTGAACGAGACGGAGGAGCTTCTCAGGCAGATGGAGTTCGAGGTGGAAGCCCCCCCCAACATCTCAAAGCCCGTGCTAGGAGCATCTGCTTTGCCAGGCGCAGGAGACCCGGAGCCGGCCCGGGGACCTTGATCCAGAAGAACCCACCAAGGCTGCCCGGAGGGGCGGAGGGGGACCGCTAGGCCTAGGCTTGCATTTCTCGGTCGAGTCTTGAGTCTTTGCAATGCTGTGCTTCCAGGCTCTGCTTTCGGAAGCCTTAACCAGCTGCTTCAACGTTTTGGACCTGGAGGACACCTGTTGCCGTGGCAGTCTGGCATGCAGCTGGTGGTGCTGGTAGATGGGGGGTGCTCGTACGTAGCGACGTCGCACCAGCGATTCGGTTCGGCGGTAGCGGCTCCACAAGTTTGGGTTTTGTTTGCAACTAGTTTTCTCCCTTTATTTCCCTTGTCAGGACGTGTCTAGGTACGAATAGAAATAACCTAAAAGGCAAGCAAGTCGCAAGCCTGTCAGGACATGGCAACGGAGTGTCCGGTAGATGACGAAGGCCCTTTCGATGCCCATGCCGTCGAAGGTGCGCTCTGATTGGTTTATGCTGAACCAGAACGGCGGCACTTAGAGTTATCCCTGAAACGGACGCCTGGTCCTTCAAGCCAGCTGACATCTCGATGCTGCAGCATGACCAATATGCCGCCTCAGCCCAGCATTCTCATGAAGCACAGGCTCCGACATCCAGCCTGCCTGCGAAAGCCCAGGCCCTCTGAAGGCCGTGATGTTGAAGCACCGATTCCTCTTCCCCCCTCTGTGGGTTGTACTTGATGGAGCTACTTGTGTTGCGGGCCATGCTGGTTTGGTGCTTCATGGTGTGCACGATGGGATTCCACTCCATCAATCTTCCACCTCACCACCCTGCTTGACTCCCGAGTGATACCAACGTGCAACTCCCCGATCCAACCCCTTGTTTTCCGTGCTGCGGAAGGGGTTCTTTCCCTCCTGTGATCTCGATGCGCATGGACCGGTCATGGTTTAGAGCCCAGACAATGATGCTGACGCGCATGCGGACAATGATGGTGACGACGATGATGATGATCATGGTGATCATGGTGATGATGGTTATATTGATATTGATCATGGCGATCGTGACGGTGATGGTCATGATGGCGATGTCGATGGTGATGTTGGCGATGCTACATACTCTCATCCTCGAATTACAGGGCACAAGACTCCACGTAATGTCGCAGCGGAAACGGAATGAAACGGAACTCTGCAGGAGCCCCAGGGTTCTGTCATGGGTGGTTCAGCTGCAGACCTCGGCGCCGAGCTCGCAGTGCCCTGTCGAACGGATGCGATTTGCACGTTTCAGGTTGGGTTTCGAGCTCTGGTAGGGCTTTAAGTTAGAAGCTTGTGCAACACGTGGCTCTGGCATGCATGCAGATGCTGACGATGAATCTGTCTTCCTCCGGCTGACCTCGAGGATGCCTTTGGGCTGAATGCCTCTATGCCAAAGGAAGACGTTCCGGAGGCTCTGACTCCAACAGCCTGCATGCGACGGTTCTTCCATGCGCTTCACTCCGGTGCAGGTGGCGATTGGCTTGCGTGATCTCGTCCATGCTGGGAGCAGGGCCAGGTGCAGATATGGGAAGCTGCAGAAGTTGGAGAATCAGAGGTTTACTGGCTGCAAGGCAGGGAGATGCACAGAGATTGCACTTGGGGAGAAGATCAGCCAGCTGCCAAGTTGCTGGAAAGACGTTCGGCCTCGGCGAATCGCCTCAGGTGCCCGAGATCGGATCACTTCCCATGCAGGCGAAAGCCATGGTTTGCGAGGGTCCTCTGTCGTCGTGGTGTCGTCGTCTTTTGCAGTTGTTTTTCCGACTTTGTTCCCACTGGGAGGCTTCGCCTTCCGGTTCGAGCAGCAGGCCGGTCGAAATGCGTGGCTCCCACTGGCCCCGGTCCCAATCATTGCAGGTTACGAGCAATCACAGCGACCCTTCCACTCGACGACCAGAGTGGCTTGGCTGTTTCGAGTGTGTGCCTCTCGTCGCGGCAAGCCTTGACAAGAAGAGGTCCATCGGCTGGCGAAGCTGATGAGGCCGGGTGGCTGAGCACCCTGTGAGACCCATGTGGCTCGTTTCTCTCGGCCCAGCCTCGAACTCCGAAAGGCCGACGATGCCATCGCTGCACTCGAGGGGTTATGGAGGGACTCGCGACAGGACACTGCCAAGAGGCTCATGAGGCCCAGCATATGGCTTGCAGGTCCCTGCGACGCGATGCCTGTGTGATTCTTGCGCCAGGGCCTCCATTTCCGTGGCATCGGCCTCCAAGCTTGCCCGCAGCGCCGGCCTCAGTTCAATAGTTCCGAACGTGCCACAAACTGCCTGCCTGGCGGCTTCTTAGGTGACGCGCGGTCACGCGGAGCCAGTGACGCAAAATCGGTCCGGCCCCCAGCTGCAGGGTGATGCGGCCCCGAAAAACCCACAAAAACGCTTTCAATCATTGGTCCTTGGTCCCTTCCCAACCTGAGGAGTCGGGTGCGTCGCATCCAGGCTCCAGAGCAGCGCCTGAGCCTTGCTTGGGGACAGTCCCGCAACTTCCACTTCTTCGGGAATCGGAAACGCTAAGCTACACGCTACTGGTAGAGGCAGAAGCAGAGCCCTTCAATGCAGCGAGGGTCCACATGAGCCACCCCTTGCAAAGGGCCTCACCACCTCCGAGCTGGTTCTGAGCTGGCAGCAGTGTATGTTCCTGTCAGCTCGGATTGAATATGTGGAAGACTAGTGTCACTAGTGCTTTGCACGCTTGTAAATCCTGTTCATTGACTGTCGTGGCATCTCTGCATCCCAACCGCCTTCTCAGGCATTTGGAGTCTCCATTTTCGGGAGTGCGGGACTCAGCTCAAGAGTAAGTCCGACTTCTCGCCTGTGTCTTTTCACCGTCATCTTGTGGAGGGCAGCCGTCTGGCAGCGAGCTGTGGCATGCCTCACTTACCGCGCATGTTTGCGGTCATAGCCATCCGCTACAAGTGATTGTGCACTGGATCCCTGTGACTAAGCGAGCTCCTCATCACCTGCACTTTTTTGCTGCTGCTGCTGCTGGTCATATCCGGAAATCATATGGGGCGATCAGGGTGCGTGTGTGTGTGTGTGTGTGTGTGACAAGATGGGACCAGGGCCTGTGCACGGATCGTGGCCGGAGTGCGGCACATGGCTTGCTTAAGGACGGCTCGGGCAGTGACTCTGAGAGTTCCTCCCAGCGATCAGCCAGCTCCTCAATTTGAAAGCTTTAGGTTGTTGGTCCTGGTAAGTTCGAAGGTTTCGGGTTTAGATCTTTTCTCATTAGTGTATGGTCCGGCATCGCGGAATTTGCACGCTGGTTGGTTTGTGTATGCAGCATTCCACGTGTCAGCACTTCCTACGGCAATCCGCGAAGGGAAATTAATTCTCCCAAGCTCATTTCGTGTTCTCGTGTTTGGATAGACCGTCGTTGGAGCAAGGGTTCGAAGGGCATGGGCACATGTGGCTACGGGTTGAAGCGTGGAAAGTCTCGTCGTGGGTGAGGAAGTAGCGCTCTGCAAAGGTGTCAACGCCGTCCCTGCTCGCCGTTCAGGCCAAGTTTGTTTCAGAAGTTCCGGATTTGGTTGTTGGTGACCGTGAAGGTCCGATGGTTCGGTCAGCACAAGTTTTTCCTGCAAGCATTTGCAGCTGGGGAGATGGAAGCGACGCCTTTCCATTGCCTTCCTTTTGACAGGGTGAGCCTTCGACACTTTTTCCATCGCACGGGGCCGCGGCCACAGAGCCTGCGTGACAGATTGTGACACGCTTGTAGACGGTCGAACATCTTGGCTGGTCGAGATGGCAAGAGGGAGACATCCAAAAGCAGATCTGAGTGCTGGGAGCAGGAGCAGTCAAGCACGTACAAAGGCCTCGATGCCCGACCTAGGTCCACTTGGAGTGGAAGTTGAAGATGCACACTCGGCTTCCGAAGGAAGTGCAGGCTGATTGTGGCGAAGCACCCTTCATTCGGGTCCTTGTTGCGGTGCCAGGTGTCTAGACAACGAGGTCTGTGTCCTGGGTGCAGAGGGAGACTTCCTGCTATCTCGCTCTTCCAGGGGCCCAGGCCAGAGCTCTTGTTCTGCCCTTACGGCAAGATGGCTCACTGTGATTCCATGCCTTCTCCTGTCAGATACTGCCACTACTTGGGCTACTATTTCTGCACGGACTGCCACCACGGTGACATTCGCGTAATCCCTGCTCGAGTGGCGCAGCGCTGGGACTTCGAACCCAAGAAGGCCAGCACGGCTCGCGACACTTCGGAAATTGTGTAGCTGCAGTAAATCCAGGCACTTTGGGCCGAGATTAACATCTCTTTATCCAGTACTCGGCTCGCGAATCGCTCCGAGTGAGGTGTGCAGAGCAGTCGCCAAGTATTTGGACCTCCAAGTCAACCAGCCCCTCGTTCCCATCACCAGCATCCGGCAGACGAAGGCAATGCATGGAGCCCGGAGGGCTTTCATCATATCTTGCATTTATCGCTCCCTTCTGCACGTGTAAGTAACTTGGGACAGGTGTCTTCCCAAAAGATCTTGACAGAGATCCACAATTGTCGCCCTGATCCTAGAGATGTGTGATGCAACAGCATGGTTTGGCGAAGCGGCACGGATTGAAGCTTCGCATCGTGCCCAGGTCAGCAGCTAAGCAGGATAAAGGACATCGTGGCTGAGCAGGGTTGCGAGTTCGGAGTCCAGATGCACAGCTTTGTGGCGCAGGCCTGCACGATGCATTGTGAGACTTGCAACTCTTGATGCATTCCTCTGCACCGTGCCTGGATTCAGCTTGATGCCCACATCGCACGCGGGCACGAGCACTACGCCATGCAGGACCACTCAGGTTGGTTGTCGCATTCCGTCATCAGTCAGCCAGCTTCACCTTCGCCCATGTAGGTGATCGTACCATCGCTCGCCAATCACGTCCCCAAGCATGTCCTTCATCTCTGTTTCCAGCCTGGTTCACCAAACCCTCTGTAAGAACATGAGAGTATTCGTCACAGTTCTTGCTGTGACATGCAAAAGCTCGCCAGCTGCCTGCATGCATGGGGGATGTCAAGCGGATGCTGCAGGCTGCACAGCACCTTCCGCCTCAGAGCGGTCAAGTTCTTTATTTTGCGGCTACACTGATTCTTGGTTGGATTTTGAAGGACCTCATCCGCATCCATCTGGAGGGCTGGAGCTGTCCGCTCTACACGAAGGTATCCCGTGCCGGGCCCCAGATAGCACAGCTTCCTGCACGTCATCTAGAGCTGCTGGCCAGTGAGGATGTTTTGCAGGCGGTTGATAGTCACAACTTTCCAAAGTTCTAGGGGGTGCGATTGCAGCGAGGTCTAATGCAACCAGACGCAGCATAGGAAACAGAGTCCATGCTGAATGATGAGGTTGTGTTGCCGTCTGCTCCGACCATATCCACTCTTGCGCCCAATGCGGTGGACCTAGTCGTTCGTGTGCTGCTGTGTGAAAGTAGATGATCCTTCTTTCTCTTCTCTTAGCCTTGGCTTCTGTTGTACTTGTCGCCCCCTTTTTGTCACTCTGACTCTCTTGCCCTGCTCGGACCGTTCGGCTGAGGCTCCGGCTGTGCGCGGCGCTGCCCCATCTGTGGCTCCGGAGCTCCGATCTACCTCTTCGAGGCGCCGCCACAGAGAAAAAAACTCCTCTTCTCCTCTTCTTCCTTCTTCTTCTTTCTTCCTTCTTCCTTTTTGTCTTTCTTCTGGAGATCTTTTGGGCGTCGACGGCATCGGTCTTCCTCTTCGGAAGCGTTGCGTCGTTGACTCCAGCTGCGTCGCAGGTTGAGAAGCTTCACTCCTGCGAGCGGCCGGGACCTCGTGCCAATGCTACATTGGTCTCGAGCTACCAGAGCACCAGGAGCCGGCCCGAAATGGTCCGAACCAGTCACTGCTTTTTGAGCGGATTTAGTGCAAGGGCTTTGCCTTGGTGGTTTTCCGGAACACCCGCTCGATTTAGGGGATTGGGTTTGCCGCCCATGTGCAGCTTCGGTGAATCGTGTCTGAATGGAGGATTGTGTTTGCTGTGCGCTGGCGAGGTGCGGAGCGGTGTTTCACAAGACTTGCTTTCGACGGGCCTGCCTGCCTTTGTTTTTCAGCTCGCACGACCGTTCCTGACGCTTTGGACGGGTTCTTGCTGAGGAAGGGTGCCAGAGATCAGCTGTTGAGACGTCGAGCTGTCTTAAGCATTATGCGCAGGCTGTGATTTTGAGGTGCAGTCTTATTTGTTGGATCGTTTTCGACTCTCAGCCAGAAGCTGTTGATGTGCCAGGCAAACTCGGAGTGTCCGTTCTGTTTGGAAGCCACATCGTCTCAGAGAAAGCCTTCTGTCCCTTGGAGCAGCTTTAGAGCCGAGAGTTGCACCTTCATAGCGAGTCGATAGAAGCAAGTCCGACGAATGCTTCGGGTTCCTGCTGGTGTCTGGTGTCTGTCGCGTCGTATCGTGGGGAAGTTGCTCTCGCTTGCCACCAAGCTGAATAGACGTCACAAGCACAGGTTGCAGCAGTTCAAGCTCGATGATGCTTTGTGAGCGCAGAGGATGTGGGAGATGCGAACTTGCGAAGACCCTCTTTGATTCTGGAACTGATTTCCATTCGGAGTCTCCCGCAGGCACCTGCAACTCTTGACCCAACCAGCAGCTGTTCTGCTGTGTCGGGGTTCGTGCTTGTCACCAAGCACTACGATAATGAAACGAAGTTTCACCTGTGGCTGCCGTGAGCAGCAGCATGCAGGCATGCACCTGTTTTGACGTATGCAGGGAAACGTGCTCCTGTCTCACATCGTGTCACAACCTCCCCACAGTACGACAGTCTCCGGCGGGCAAAGGTGTCATATTACTTTGACTTAATCGCCGCCAGAGGTTCGACACCCAAGATGATAGGCCGTGCCTGCACAGTGCTTTCCCTCGGCAAGTGTGACAGCCTGCTTTGGCTTGACTGGCCTGTAGACCGGAAGAAGGTGTCAAGCATTCTCGAGTGGTTTTCGGGCCAGTTTGCCGCCAGCAACCGTTGTCTTTTCAGCCAGCATGTTTTAATCGCCGGCATGTAGATGAGACTTACATGTCTTATCGCAGTCTTAAGCAGCACAGCGGCCCTAGTACACACCCGTAGCCCTCAGGCCCCAGGCCTCGTCCGGCTCACAGCTGGGCCTCTTCTCGTGGAGACCGAGCGCAGGGAGCGGGAAGAGCAAAGAAAAGCAAGCGGGTCAGGTACAGGCCCTTCAGTTCACCTAGTCGAGTCGAGTGAAATCGCGGAAGGACCAAGCAGGGTCGAGAGAAGAAGAGTGACAAAGGTGGGGTCTAAGATGCAGGGAAAGTTTGACTCCACGGAGGGAAGGTGCGAATGGAGGATCAATAGCGAACGGCGATGCAAGGGTGGCAACGGCGTTCAGAATTTGCGGGTAGCTGGCATATCATGAGTTGTTGGAAGTCGGTAGGGGAGCTGACGAAGTTGACGCGGTGTGTTTGATTATTGTGGCATACAGGCAATTGACCCTGGAGCATTTTGTCGGCAGGCTCAGTGGCAGGCAGAACCAGGTGCATTCTTCGAGTCACACGACGCCTCTTGGTTGAAGAGACTTCGGGGGCAGCTTCAAAGCAGGCAAGCAAAGAAACGATTTTGACGGTCCTCGTCTACACAAAGTAACAGGCAGCCTTTTATGGCTGAGATTTCATGTTTCCCTTTCTCTTTCAGGTCGGCGAGATGTTTGCCGTGAACGAAAATCATCACAACGGCGTGGCGTATCTCAGGCAGTGGTTTCAGAGTGGATTGGCCTTGCCACTGCTGATCTGAACGAGCTCTTGGTGTTCACCACAAAAGTGGAGCCTTGTGGCAAACCGTAATTCAAACTGCCCTGGCACTAGAGTGTGTTTTCTTCCTGCGCAGCGCAGGTGCATTCACTCTGAAACAAGTAGCAACTTGGCTACTTTTCGGGGTGGCGAGAATGAAATATGGGAAGAGGCCGGGCTTGTCGTTCCGAAATCCTGTGAGCTGCTGCGCTGTCGATCTTGAAGACGACAGCAGATCGCCTGAAGAGCCATAAAGAATGCGGAAGCGGCGGATCACCATCTCTGAGCAGCTGCAGTGCAGTGACTTAGTCGACGACGGCTGTAGATTGCACAGCAAAATATTTCTCTGAAGCAGACGGTAGCCTACGACCCTGCCCGCAACTCCATCGCAGGTCGCAGCAACGCATCTGTGGGTGGATCTCCTATCCTCTGCTCGCAGAGAGTTCGGGGCCTGGGTACGGGGTTGGAACTTGTGATGGAAGCGTGCTTCCATCACCTTGTGGGAAAGCTGGGGTGAGAGATTTGAGAGATTGCGTGGAGCGTACAGGACTGAACTCGGGCCAGCTTACTGTTTCTCGATTCTCTGGAGGTTTTGTATCTGAACACGCTTGCTCCAGTGATTGTTCGCCTCACCTGCAGCCGAGGTTGATGGACGATTCTCCGAATGCGGGCCTCGCTTCTGCTGCCTGAAGTATCCAGGCCTCGCAGTCTGTGGACAGCACGCTCAAAGGTCGCAGTGTCATCTAGTATTTGAGCATGATTGTCTGCAGAGTTTACGAATCTCGATCGGCATCAGAGCAATGTCGCCACATTGCGACTGCACGACAACGACCGTAGCCGTGTTGCCCAAGGACGGCAAACTTGCCCACGGCCGCTTTGCCATGGAGTTGCCTTGCAGCCAAGGGTCCGATTTGAGTGCCGAAGGCAAGCACTCCGAGCATCCCTCACTCCTCTTCCGTTGCAATTTCCAGGAGAAGGACCTCCACACCGTACATGTAAGAGGCATACTTCCTCTGGGGAGGAAACACTCTGGGTTCACAGTTGCATACATGCTTGCAAGCCACGTGAGCCGCTTGCGTATTTCCAGCTCGTGCATCACCATGCTCTGGCAGGACGGCAAGCCTTGTGAGCAGCCGCTGGACAAAGGATGGGTTACAGCCTGCTCCCACCTGTTCTGCAATGAGAGCCCTGGCTGGCAACAAGTCCTTCCTGACCTCCCAATTTCTTACGGCGGGGGCATAGCCCTGGTACTGTGAAGCGTCAACTTCAGGCATGCGCACAGGTGGTTTGCAAGCCATGACTCCTGCCCAGTCTGCCGTGCACCCGGCTTCTGTGAGACTTTGCCTCCGGAGAGTGTCAAAGAGGGGAGGCAGTGGTTGGGAGGGACGCTCCAACTCAGAACCGAGACACTGAGGCGGCACCAATCCGGTGAAGCTGGTTCGCATGGATCTGTCTACCTCTAAGCACGTGATTGGCAGCAGGAGGGAAATGATGCTACTTGTACCGTTCTTGCATCTCTAGGTCTCGCGCCTCCCTGCGACGTCGGGGGACGAGCTGCCTGGTGGGCATGTCTCCGCCGGAGGCAGGGCCTCGCCCCGCACCGTGCTCCGGCCGGCTGCCTCCTGCTTGGAGGTCCTCCGAGCCCTCGAGGTCTCGTGCGCGCCTCGGGGTCGTTGCCCAGACTTCTCTTCTGTTGCTGCGGCACTGCGTCACCTTGCTTGGGGGGCGGGACCTTCGAAGTCCTCATAAGTGTGGAGCTTCCCTTCTGTCGAGCCCTTTAGCGGGAACTCTGCTGCACGATGATGCCAGGCTTTCCTTTTGGACAGACCAGCAGCTGCTACGCTTTCAGCAAGAAGGATGCCGGCTGCCATTCTAGAGTTTCTCATGTAGACACGTTCTCGTAACCCAAAGCTGTTTCGGTCAAGTGCGTGAAGCTCGGACATGGACACGTTTTCGCAATCCGTGAAGCGATGCCAGCTTGTAGGATTGAGACGACTTGTGCTATACCAAGCTCAATGCCGAGTTTTCACCGGCCCTGCCAACCATCTGTAAGTCTAAGGTCATCAAAAAGAACCTGTGATACTGCATCCGTATCAATGAATGCTTCCACAGCCTGAAAGGACGACGCCGCGCTCAGGAAGTGGGCCGTCTCGCATGCATCGAGCGCACGGGCAAAGCTCGTCTGATGGAGGCTGAGGTCTGGGGCAACACATCAGCGAATCTAGCAGTGGACGGTAAGAGGGACTATATAGCAGGATGGCATAAGGTGGCAGCCGTTGTGACGATGGTGGTCGGTGTTACGATGATAGGCAAATCAGGAGAGTGGAGGTGGAGACCATGACGGGAGGGAGGACTTGCAGGCGGAGGCGCAGGTGGAAGCGGTGATAGTTTGAAGGCAGGGATTGTCCCGGATGACTACAGCTTCAACAGCAACTTTCGAGTGTCGAGCTCTCCCTCTGCCCCGACTGCGAAGCCAGTACTGTCACCCGATTTGCCCGTCCGAGAAACTACATGACACTCTGCCTGCAGGAACTATGCAACGAACTGGAGAAAAAGCATGGTTGCATGGAGAATAAGCTGGCAGAAACTCTCAGAGAGGCACGGTCCGGATGAGTTCTTGAAGCAGTCCTTAGTAACCTCGTTCTTGAAGTGGCAGCACGATGTGCAAGAATGCCACAGCCAGGGCAAATATCATTTTGCAGGTGTCAGAGCTCAACGATGAGCTGAGCAGGATTTCGGAAAGCGTGCACCAGGTGCCGCGTCGGACATCTGAGCTGTGGTCTTGCTGGTAATACCATCGTCAAACCTTGCAGTTAAGTTTTGCTGGTCACTATCGATAGCCAGCACCGAGGCAAGCAGAGGGGGACTGCATCCAGAGCGAGCAGCGACTGCCCAAAGCCAGAATGAAACGGGCTTCGACCATCCGCCAGTCCGGCAATCCCAGTTCCACGAGATTGCGACTGGTACATCAAGGCCACACATCAATTCGCCCGGTGGGTCCCCACCTCGACGTTTGCATATTCCCAGGCTGTTGGGCACAGCTTCTAAAAGGCAGCGCCTGGGCAAGCTTTAGGTGTTGTGAGTAAGGGCCAAGGAAGGCTCAAGGTACCATAGATTTGTGTGGCGAGCTGTGCTATGCAAGCTTTGCTACCAACACTGTGCCGGGCGATACACATGCGCTGGCAAAGTCTCACGACGGCTCCGGGGCTGCCATCGAACGCCGGGCAGTCATGCAGGGCTTCTGCAAAGGCATGGAATCTAGATCTTCGTTGAAGCTGGGAGTGACCCAGTTGCGGGACCTGGCTTCGAGTGTCCCACCTGTGAGTCGGTGAAACGTCCACGTCCAGTGTGCCCGGTCTTGACAGAAGCCCTTTCCACTCCTGGATAGGCATGGTTTTGCACTTGGTCGCCGTGGCCTTAGCAAGTCGAACGGAGTAAGATTTGAAGGCAATTGTGAGTCATGATGTGCAGTGTGGTTTTTGGCCAGGTGGTGCCTGGACCAGTGCATGTAGCAGCAAGTTTCTCGGGTTCCCTCAAAAGGCTCTCCGTAATAGATTCTCGTACTGGGCTCAAAACCCTGCTTTACTTTTCTCGAGCTGAGGTTGACTGTTTGACGTTTGAAGACTTCCTTTACAATGCCACGCACGGCATAGCAGCTGCCAACAGCCGGCGGATTCGTAAGCTGAAAGCTTGCAAAGTGCCATCAACACTGGCAAGCCTGTACATCATCTCGAGATGTGTTACTCTGGTATGTGCTGTGCGGTTGCATCAGCTTTGCCCGAATTGGTTTACAACTTGCTTGCTTGCCTTGTGGCCGGTGGCACCTCGCGACCACGCTCCGTTCCCCAGCAATGTTCGACTGTCAGGCGTCTCTATCCGAGAATGCTGGCAGCTGGAAGTGTTTGCAGAGATGCGACGTTGGTTCACTCAGAATGACGGTTCATGTGTTATGCGAAGGCGGTGAAGTAGGCGCAAGGAGGTCATGGCTTCAGCTTCTCAGCCCAGGCTAACCATGCGGATACTAGCACGTAACGGAGGGCCCATGGCCGAAAACTTCTGTTACTGGTGAAGCTTGTGAACTTTCGTGTCCAGGCACCCTGCCGTTTCACCTTAGATTTTCTGCAAGATGATATTCTGGTGGCCATTTAGGAGTTTGTGTCTCAATCAGAGGGCTTGCACTGTCGGCAGTCGAAACCGAATAGGATGGCCGCATGTCACGACAAGCTCCGCTTGCTTTCGACTGCCGGCATATTCGCAAGGCTGGCTGCTAGCTAGATGCAGCTAAGCCACTCGACATGGCGCCTGGCCAGGGGCCGTTGGGGAACTGGAATCTCACTGGAAGACCTCCTCTCCCCCCGTTTTGTTGTCAGTCTCCTCTCCGGGCTCCAACATGTCGAAGACCGATACCTCACAATGAGGTGACTCCCGTAGGCCCTGCTCGGCGACATCACCACGACCAGGATGGCTACGCTTGAGCGGGCTTGATTGTCGTCATCGACGTTGTCATGACTGTAACTGCTAGACTATAGACACCCAGATCCAGTTGGTTCTCGCTGAACCGCGTCGTGTTTTTTTCAATGAGGGGCGATGTCGTTCTCGTTTTCCCTCGACGGAGCTGGGAATGTTGATGGGGCTTGCCATGAGGTCTCAAAGCTTCCAGTCGTAATCCACGGCGTAGCATGCCCATGGTGTTCACCTGTTTTGGCACAATGGCGAAGACGTTCCTGTGTCCTTGATGCACCAGCTCCCGGAATTTGGAAAGCTTTCCCTGCACTCTCGCCCTACGCAGAAAAACGCAAAACGACGCGGCTTGGCCGCTGGTCTCCTGTCTCCTTTAAGTATGGAGAGGCGGTGACTCAGTGGGTCTGTGTGGCAGACTGTCACTCAGAGTGCAAGCAGACACGTTCACGGAAGGAAGCACTTCCTGGACGTGCGCCGCTCTGGAATCGTAGTTTTAGCAACCCATCTTGTGAGCCCGTACACCTGTCATGCCCTTATATGATGTTTTGTGCATTATTCTGCGTGCTGGTGGTGAGGGGAAGCTCTTGGCTGAGGGCCAGACCCAGCATCCCACGTGCCGGTAGACAGGCAGCCGCGACCGAATCCTTTCCGTTACGGAGGGGTTGGAGGTCGACAATCTGACCGAAACCCGCGTTGATTTGCTTCATGGAGAAACCGACAAACCAGTCTTCTGGCTCGGGTTCTGGCACAGGTGTGCAGTTGAACTCGATGCACACGGTCCAGCCTTATGCATGGCGCTTGCATCAGAGCATTTTCCAGGACTTGAAACTTGGAACAGCACCAGTAAGCAGATATTGAGATATTGCAGAGGCTTCGTAGAAATAGCAGTTTGTGCACAAAAGCGATCAGCAGAAGACCTGGCAACAGTAACACAACACCTAGTGTAGCCTATTGGAAGACTTGAGGCCGATATTGGCAGGCAAGGACAGAGCCGGAACCATTGCAAGCCGCATCGCTATGGTGGTCACGAGATGTTCATTTGCCCTCACATTCTTCGTGCAATTCTTGTTGCTGGCAGTGGGTGAGGCCTGAGCAGAGAGTTTGTTCCGACCAACGTCGCCCCTTGTTTTCGTGGAGCTGCATGCCGAGGCTTCCAACAGCAGCAATCCTTACAGCCCAGTCCCAACCGCGACTCTTGCCCCTGGCATTGGACTCGATGGCGGCTTTACTGCAAGACAGTCATGCTGCAGTGTCCTCAGCAGTCTTTCTGTCAGCCTCTCACAGGCAGACCCGTCAACACACTGATTACTGCCAACCTGACGACGAAGGTCGGTGGGTACATTGCTTTCTACTTCGAAAGGCAATGTAGGAGTGTTCACCGCTGCCAGGACGACGCCTACAACCCCTTCAATCCGTTCCGTGCCCTTCCCACGTTCGGGAAGCAAGTGAAGAATGCCTTCAAATGTCCGTTTGCGACATGCACCCAGGACGAGGCCTCAGACATCTGTCCTAGGGCAAACGGGCAAACATTCAGAAGTTTGCCCAGTCTGCATCGAGCCAAGGATGTGGTCACAGAGGACACCTTTCCCTACCCGTGCTCGTGTGCTCGGATTCGGTCTGGGGTTTGAAGGCTTGTGCATGAAAGGACGGAGATGATGCAGTTGACGGCAGTGACTATCGTGTGGCACTGAGCAGTCTTGGCCTTCGGTCAGACCCCACGTTCTTGCGCTGACGCCGGGAAGGCTTCCATAGATCTGGACTTCTCATCCGCTTCCGAGGCATACCTGCCTTCCTGATAATGCTCATGATATTTCTAGCATGGCGCTCGGAAGCCCTTGATTTCAGTCTTTACTTCCAGCTATATCTTTTTTGACGGGGAGCATGCCGGCGAAAGCAAGTGAGGTATTATTCCACACTTGTTTTTGCTTTGTTGGAGGAGGATAGTGTCGTCAGAACCATTGTCCAAAGTTGACATGGCACTACTTTGAGCTCAGGCGGCACTCATCTACATCACAGACTGCCGGATGAAGCAGATGTGCGCTGCGGGCCCAGGGCATTATCATTCCTCTGACGGACCACCATGATGCACCCAGCCTTGGCAGTAACTGCCGTGTCCGTTTGTCACATGCGCACATCTGATGCCCACAGTCTTTCGTTGCTCTTGGTGCTTTCTCTCGACTCTCAATCTTCTAGCTGTGCAAAGCCTGTCATACCTTGCGATGCGTGCTGGTACGGTGCCTACACATTGCAAACTGTCGCCGCGGCGGGTGCAGCTCGTATCTCGGAGCTTCGTCTTCAGGTTTTCGAGCAACCATGCTTGCAACAAGACACGTTGAGAGATTCACACAAGGGAGGCAATCCATCGACATGAGCTTGCAGGTCTCAAGAACTGCCAGGCTCTGTGTTACCAGGATATTCAGAAGAGCCCGTAATCACCATAATTTTGCAAGAGCCATCTGCAGCTACCCAAAAATACTTCGTGATGGCAAGAACCTGCAGTGATCTCCAGGCCAGACGCGAGGAGGAATCTCAAGAAGATGAGGACGAGGATGAGGCAGGGGCTTTCAAACTGAATTGCAAGAAATGCTTCGCAGACCTGGCTGTCGCACTTCTCAGCCTTGCTTGAATTGAAGCTTCAGGACGAGGAATTCGAATTGGTGAAGCCTTGAGAAATGCACTGCGGCTCGAAAACAACATTTCCGAAAATGATCATGAATCATAAGTCCTTGGTTCGGGGCTTTCAATGATGTTTTGTCTTTCGCAATAATGATACATATGTATATATATATATGTACATACATAGATACAGTGCTAACCTTTTCGGGCAGAATGTGGGGCAACCATGGGTCGGGAACAGAGGAGAGATTCTTCAAGCAGATGCGCGGGCAACTATCCCCGCAATGTTCAGGAATACCTACGGGAAAAGGTCACGAATGGTGGGGGGGAGGGGAGTACAAATGTATATGCATTTACGTGGCGTGATAAAATGCATACCACATCTGTCTTCATTCCTGGGAATTGGATGATTTTCACCTTTAAAGGAAAGGGTTTGGGGATGGGATTTTGGGGTTTAGGATTGGGGAACGGTAAAGGGGTGGGGAATGGGATTACGACCTTAAAAAATGAAAATAAAAATTATTATATGGCACTTTAAAAGACGTTCATATTGATATGGATAAATGAAATTTACTCTGGTTGAAATTTTTGGAAAGATTTAGGGATAAAGATTTAAAGATTTCGGAATATATCATTTTCATCCGATATTTTCGGGTTCGGATGAAAAAGATTTTTTTTAAAAAAAAAAAAAATATATATATATATATTCATATATACATCAAAATGAACCCGTGAAAATTTTAGGATTCTTTCTCTTTCAATGAATATTCAAGAAATATAGATCATTCTCATATTTTCAATTATTTAGGAATATATTCATTTCTTAGAATCAATTGATATCGATAAATATGACTAATAATTCATCGAATTAATATATAATGAATTTATGATTCATTAGGTCGCGTGTTGGTCTAATATTTCTCCGACACGGGTGCAATAATTTTATATGATATCGACTATGTATATAATGAGATCTAGATGATCTTGAATAAGATAGGAGATGAATATTAATGTACTTAAACCATAGATATGATGCGGAAATATTATTCTATCGTAATTATAAGATTGATAAATATTTACTAATTATATAATTTTCTTAATTTTTTTGAAACTTTTTATAGATATCTATTACTCGAATTTATATTAAAAATGAATTCTATTGCTCAGATGCGAGAAGCGACAGATTCATTTGATGATTAGAAACTATTATCATAGCGATAGATTCATTTTGATTTTGATAATTAGAAATTATATTTGAAATTATTGCCATTATCAATTATTATAAGTGCCGCCGCTGCTATTGTTGCGACGATATCAATTTTGGATCTATCTGGATACTACTATGAATGCTAGTAGGCCTTGGGTCGAGCTATATTTTCGAGAATTCTTATTTCCAGGCTAATATGAACCTATACTAAGATATAAGAAATTTGGATTTTTTTAAGAATCTAATCACGGCATTTTTGTGCCATGCAGTCTGGAATTAAGAATTGAGGGCGATGAGGGTGTTACGAGCACTGAGCGTACGTGGCAAAAGAATGAAGATGAGGTTACGATAATATCTAAGATATACGAATTAAAACCAGATATCTGAATTTCGTTTTATGACTGGAGGAATGTCATAATATATCTATTCCACGTTCAAATCATATAGAATTATTTGTTGATTTTTTGATCGTCCCTTCTGCTATAGTCATAGATATATAATATCAAATTTTCTATAAGGAGGACCATCAATTTTTTATCTATTTCTCAAAATATTATTTCTCTCTCTCTCTATCTCTTCTTCTCTTTCTCATATCTTTTCTTTCATTTCTCTCAGGTCTCTTCTTAAATCAGCTCGGATCAGGTGGGATTATTGTTGATGTTGGTATTGTTGTTGGTCTTCTCTTTCTTCTTGATATTGTTGTTGGTGGTGTTGTTGATTTGTATTGTTAGAGAAAGGGAGAAAGGGAGAGAGAGAAGAGAGAAGAAAGAAGAGAGAAGAGAGGAGAGAGAAGAGAAGAGAGAGGAGAAAGGAGTGAAGAGCGAGGAACGAATAGGGAGGAGAGATGAGGGAGGAAGGAGGAGAGAGGGAGAGAGGGAAAGAAAGGGAGAGAGATAGGGAGATAAAGAGGCGATGAGATAGAGAGATAGAGAAATAGAAAGATGGAGAGATAGAGGGATGGAGAGAGGGAGAGAGAGAAGAGAAGAATAGAATTTATAGAATAGAAATTATATCAATGAAAAGAAAGAAGAGAGAATAGAAGAGGAAGAAAAGAAGAGAATATCGAAGATGATTTATATTCTATAAAATTCATCATATTCGATTTGATGAAATTTCCAAATTCTTATTTAGATTATTAGAATAAATATTATCATTCTTCTCTTCTCATCTCTCTTCATTCTATTTCTTATTCGATCTATGATATCTATGCTAAATAATTTGATATGACGAATATCTTTAGATTCATTATTGAAATCTCTTCGATAATATTCATTTTATTAAGAATTAAGATTATCTTATAGAAATTAATATTCGTCTTATCGAAATCATCTTTCGAATATATCATATTTCATAT